GTTAAGTTTAGTTTTGGATAAAACTGTCACTATTTTCTTTGAAACAAACTGAAAAGAATTGTAACAGCTTTAAATGTGTTGTACCGGTCTCAACTTGCTGAACACAACACTAGGTAATACCCTCACTAAAACACCTCCTACCACAATGGATACAATGGATATAACCTGTGATGTCATTTATTACACCTGTTGTAATGTGCTTGTAACCAGACTAAAACCATTTGTCATTAAAAGATGTGAATCGTTAGAATTTCAGTGTCACTAATTTAAGAAAGGGACAGTTACCAGCCAGTAAGATGAGATTGCTTTGTACTTATGCCGGGAATGCTACACTGTGAGCCTGTAACTAAAGCCCCATCCAGCAAACATGGCTTGTGTGACCAGGAAGTACTCTCAAGTGCTAACACACTACAACCTGAATAAAGACAATAATAACAAAATATCTATAACTAGCTCCCAACAACAAGCTTTTCTGAAATAATATACCCCTTAATTGTTGTTGCATGTAAGGCTTTTTAATGTGAAGGCTCGAGCAATTGTGTGATCCAAATATGGTAAAGAAGAGCCGATGAAATTGAGAAGTAGGGAGCATTTAGTTGTTAGACCTCTCTGGTCAAACACTACGATGATACTGAGCCACCAATATGTACAAACAGGAAATAGTAGTTCTGTAAGTGTAACAACAACCAGACATCACTTGATGCAGCATTTATTGAATAAAAGAAAATAAACTGGCATTCCCAAGTCAAAGTACAAGTTGCAAACTTGACAGTTTACTGGCAATACTGACTCAGTCACAATTTTCCCAAATGAATGCACAGTCACTATTAATTTACCATTGCAATGTGGGGAAATATATCATTGACATCATTATCAAAGGATTTATTTCAGTGTCAAAATCCTGGAGATGTTTTGTTTACCCGAAATTCCTCAATTTATTGTCATCAGACACTTCCCACTATCATTGTAAAATGGCCCTCTTCGGCAAGTGTAAGAAATCTAATAAAGACTGAGAGCTTATTAAAACTGATCAAATTTGAACATTTGTGTCCTGGTACCGTAATGGCAACCTTACATTCCATGTGACATTACCCAGCCCCCAATCACAGTTAATGACACAGTGATTATTACATATAATTATGCTGAATGAATCATCTAACCTAAGGTCATATATGACAAAGCAATTATCTATATTACACAAATTGAAAAAAACAATGTCTTAAGACAAAAACAAATCCCAGAAACAATTCTAAAAATAAGAGGAAGTTATAGAGTAAACTAAATTAGTAGATGTAATTGCTTTTTCAAACTCTTACTGCAAAATGTGCCCAAAGCATAAATAACTACTGAGCTCACACCATGGTGGAGCTGACACTCAGAGGTATCCATGAGCAGATTGGAAGCAAACATGGACTGCCATACATATATGGTGGTATTGAAGTGACTAAAACAACACTAGTAAAACCCTCGCACAAACTAGTCACCCTCATATCTGTTGCAACACATCCTTCTGGCTGCTTTTAACTGACACACTTGGAAGTTGGCATAGTCCTTTGTATTTTGGCAAGATCTACATTGAAATGAAATGACGGATGAATGACAAAATACAGCCATGTGTTCCACTTCCTGATCAGCTGTTCGTAGCGAGGACTAAAAGAATACTGAATCACTAAGAAGTTACGGCATGGAGTCCCGACTCACATGGACCTAGCAGCATCCTGGGGCAGCACCAGCAGCATGTCATGCTGAATACCACCACATGTGTCGGCACTACATACAGGGAATACATCTAACAAACATGTGATGTTAGAAAACATTGTTTCATATTCCTTACATCAGAATTTAGACAGAGACAGTACAACACTCTCAACAGGAGTTATAAAGTACATTAGTTACAGGTTTGGGTATGCAAGTAATGTCATTAGTTAAAAAATGTTATGAGCAAAACATCTTTTTAAACACCGATCTTGTTCGTAAATGAACAAGGTACTGATATTGTATGTTACATACTGTGACTAGTGTGAGTCATAAATACTGACATTTAGGACACTGCTTCGTGTTGAAACTCCAAGAGGGTCACCCTTCGGCAGGTGCATGCTGTGACCCAGCCTTGTCTCCAGGCCAGGCACACAATCACATAGGAAGGTCACTCCCCACAACTCTCCCAGAAGTCACCAATTGTGCCCGAACATTATTGCTGTCTATCCAAAGAAGTCACTAGGCCAAACCTACAGGTCCAGAATTGACGAAGATGATGACGTAAGGTTTAATAGAAACAATGACGTATTTGAGACAGGTGACAAGATGGCTGATGGTCAATATCATCACAAGGGACTAATTACTGACAAGATACCACACCCGCCATCATCCATCCATGACTATGGGCAGACTACCTTGGAGATGAAAGTACCTGAAACAACAAAGGAAATAATTGTCCATTTGTCTACCAAGAACAGGCCAAATTAAACAATACATGTTCAGTTAGGAATAGAAACTAAAGAAACCCGTCTTGGCTGAATGCATACTTTCAAAAGATAAAGTATAAAATAAAATATGCACAATGAATTCAACATACTAATGCATACTAAATTTTCTAAAAGGCTTATAGCATAACAACATGTATGCATGTCTGTATATTAGTTTTACAGTGTGCATCATGTAAACATGTTCATGAGCATCATTTAAACATGATAAGTTACAATAAGCAAGATGTACTCCTGTGCATTAATTGCAGCAGTCAAGTGTTTTGAGGCCATGTACATGATGTAGGCATGTATTCCAAACACACAGTCTAAGTAAACTTAGACTCAGTATTATTTGTTACACTGCTATACTGAGTCTAACAAAACCTTGTGGAAGGTCGCGTCAGGTAACCTTTGAGCGACCTATGACCGTCCAATCAAACGCAAGACGGCCCGAAGGGATTTAACCAATCAGACAAGAGCTACTATTTAGGTTTCGGCGGGACTTACAAAATGGGTTTTCTCTTCCTCGTTCGCCAACACTGATCTCCCAACAAATGAAAATTGCATAAAACACAGATATTTGACCTGCAGTATATATGCTTTGGGGTTTCTGTTGACATGGCTATCATTAGCCAATACTTCAGCAAGCTGACATGCTTGAATACTGACAAAACGCTATTTTTTCGTGACTGTTTACTCACTGCTGTGGCATGCCTCACTAGGAACCGATCGTACGGAAAATAGCCCTCGGAATCGTTCGGTACAAACTTTTTGGGAGGTAAAAGTTCAAAAGGTATGTGGGAATGTCAACTTTCGCGATTTGGTAAGCTGTGTTCTGATTGGTCAATTGAAAAGGTTATCTGACGCGACCTTCCACAAGGTTTTGTTAGACTCAGTATAGCCGAGTAACGAATACATTTGTAATACTGAGCCTAAGTTTACTTAGACTGTCCAAACACATTAATTGAATTAAATGTCACCTGACACAGCATTAAAAAAATTGGAAAGGGCATACCCATCGGTTTTGTGTATAACCACTAGACTTGGCTCAAAGGAGAAGGGAAAGTCATAGCATAAGCAAATATAAAACATATCTGTAGCCTTGTACACATTGTGGACAACACAGCTGACCACAATCATTTGTCTGTTACATCACGAGGAAGTTCTTAGGCCAGATTTATGTTTATATACATGTGTCTGCTATTCCAGAGATGACTGTAATGGCAAGTTGGTTTTAAATATAGAAATATTTTACATATCATTCATGTTTTACTGGTATTAAAATATTATTTTCCACACATTGTCTGTATCTACTGTGCTCCTTTAATACAAACTGTAAATTGGCATAATTATTAGATATACCTCATTTTTCCATTTGAGTGGAATTTTCCTCTTACCGGTTTATTGATAAACATGCTGAATGATGCAATGCATCAATACCTATAAAATGATAATATGACAGCCAGTCATATCAGTGGCCTTTCCATGTGTGATGTGATGTGTGATTTCAAGTCAACATAACTCATTTCTAGCCTGGCTTGCAGATGTTTCTGTTACAAAATCTCATAATTTGCATACAAACACAAAAATTACTAGGATATGTAACATCAAAATTATCATACTTACATAAGCTGAAATCAATGGTAATAGCAAAACTAAATTCATAAGAGGATTACGTTAGTCTTAGCATTATGTACTGTGTGTAGCATGTACAGTAGATATGCTGCAAAATACAAACTGTTACAGATTTGGGCACACAAGTACTCAAATATTATTTTACAAGGAACAACAGGAAGAGAATGAGATGAATCCAACTCACTGGTTAATGAAGGATATGTCTATCGATCTCACCATTTGGAGGAAATTGATCATTTAATGCTGAGATGAATATGATCTTTAATACACTCAAAAGAATGTTTATGAAATGTTACAATGGACAGATTTTGACAGAATCACCGCTGCACAAAGTCAGCGGCCTAACCAACTCAGCCACGGTGGCTTCAACAAAAATGAAAAGCCGTGGTGGCTGAGTCGGCTGACTTTGTGTGCTGGCGATTTGGTGCCCCACTCTGAGTCTGAGGGTTCGAATCCCGGATGAGACTCAAGCCAATAAAAGCACTAGAATCTGTACTTTACTGAGAAAGTGTAATCCCAAATATCACATGTTACATTTGACCACTTTCTAAATGGAATTGTGTATTCATATGTACATATAAAAGGATGAACAATCGTCTGCTGTAGAAATTCCCAAAAATTATCCACGTGTTATGGATTTGGCATTCAAACTCTGAAGGACATCCATTGTTGTCTCGGTTAAAAAATAACCTTATATTATAACACAAGCCATCATTCAATAATTTACACGGTCTGCGTGACGCAACAGCCCCCATAATGTTCAGCCCGAGTGAGCACTGCTGGCACAAAGCCTATGATGATCCCACGATACACGATAGTTATCCGTAATGACAAAATACTGTGCCTTTTAACTGACACAGTATAAACAAAGAAGACCACTTACCGCAGAATTCTGGCATTCTATGGACCCGAGCTAACCGCGGCTGGGGTACCTACAGACATGGTGAGATTGGAGTCGTGAACCTGCGTCACGCCGAAGTTCTCTGGGGCGGGGATGGTGGTGGTGTGTGCAACTGTTGAGGAAGGCATCTTGTTTAGTTTTGGCTTCCAAATCAAACTGTAGTAAGTGGCCAACACTATAGCAGCTAAGGACACTGCAAGTACATAGGCGAGAACTGTGGCGAGGCGAACCCACTTTTTGTTTGTTTTCGCTGCCATTTTATTCTTGCTCTTCTCCGTTGTGAAAGTTGGTCCTTTCGAGGCATTGGTTGTGGCATTGCCTCTGTAGTTAGCGCTTCCATCTTCCTTATCCATGTTAACTGGTGAGAGCTGAGGATGTAAACAGCCAAGCGGGAGAGCGACGAACGTAAAGTGAGCCTTGGGCGAGGTCACAACACTGTCAGTTTGCCGTACTTCGATCTGACGATGTAAAGACCCAGCCTTCCTATCGACTTCTGTTCCAACTGTGTGGTGGCGCCCTCTATAAAACCATTAAAGTGGCACCACGAAAGATAACTCTGGCGATGCTTATGTACAGCAGCTGTTGATCGTGAAAGTGTATCCGAGCGTTGGAAGTGGATGTATGGGATGGTGGTACAAACACGAGGATGTTTTGGTTGCTTATGAAATTGTATTGCCAATCAGGTGATGTTGGGGATTTTGTAATGAAGAGTCAATCCCTACCATTAGAGACTAGATACATAAATGGAATATTTGGTGCAGTTTAATAAGGGACCGGTCATAATTTATGGCTGTGTACACGTGTGTGCGTGCGTGCGTGTGTTTTGATGATCTTTATGAAGAAGAATGTACAATGTGAGTGACGATATGTTGAATGTCTATGATAGTATGAATGACCAACGTAACTCTGTGTTACAGTTGTACATTGCGCTCGGCGTCTCTGTTACAGTTGTACATTGCGCTCGGCGTCTCTGTGTTACAGTTGTACATAGCGCTCGACGTCTCTGTGTTACAGTTGTACATAGTGCTCGACGTCTCTGTGTTACAGTTGTACATAGCGCTCGGCATCTCTGTGTTACAGTTGTACATAGCGCTCGACGTCTCTGTGTTACAGTTGTACATAGCGCTCGACGTCTCTTACAGTGTGTTACAGTGTGATGTTACATGGCGCTCGACATCAAAATATCTGTTCCACAGTTTTGAATAATAATGCTATCTGAGATGTTAATAGCGCTAATGCTATCGGCTGTCATGTCTGATGACCTAATGCTATCTGAAATGTTAACTGTAACATGTCCTGATGACCTAATGCTATCTGAAATGTTAACTGTAACATGGTGCTAATGCTATCTGAGATGTTAACTGTAACATGTCCTGGTGACCTAATGCTATCTGGAATGTTAACTGTAACATGTCCTGGTGACCTAATGCTATCTGAAATGTTAACTGTAACATGTCCTGGTGACCTAATGCTATCTGAAATGTTAACTGTAACATGTCCTGGTGACCTAATGCTATCTGAAATGTTAACTGTAACATGTCCTGGTGACCTAATGCTATCTGAAATGTTACATGTTAACTGTAACATGTCCTGGTGACCTAATGCTATTTGGAATGTTAACTGTAACATGTCCTGGTGACCTAATGCTATTTGGAATGATGTCCAGTGTGACCAAGACAGATCACATTATTAGGCTATACCAGAATCGAAACTGTGTAGAAACTGACATGGGTCGTGTACATTGTATCACGTATTGAAGGTAAACTATGGGAAGCTTGGTAGCCTAGTGGTTAAAGCGGTCGGTCGTCACGCCGAAAACCCGGGTTCAATTCCCGTTATGGGTACAGTGTATGAAGCCCATGTTGGCGGCCCCCGCGACGTGGTATCGCTGGAATATTGCTAAAAGCGGCGTAAAACCATACTCACTTTTCCACTTTGAATTTCTTCTGCACAAACTCAATGTCGGTGTTCCTCTATGGACACAAGAAAGTTAATAAAACGGTTCCTGTCATCCCGTAACTTGAAGTGAGCAGGAGAAGGGTACAGGAGTTAGATCTCCGGGACGTAGATAGCGTTTGCACCTGCTAGTAATATCGCTGGAGTTGTCTCCCTTCATGAATCAGTGCCATTCAAGAATATATGCATGTTATAAATAGCAAGGAGAAGCCCTTATAATGATTTTCCCCAACATAATCATCAATACACTCTTGCTAACGACAGAGGAGAGATTATATCTTCACTTGACTGTCCAAAAAGCTGTCCACAGCTGCTATGACGTCCTCTCTGGAGTCGAAATGGGTTCGATTTACTATGTTTGGGAACAGATGTAAGTGTGGCCGAGTCAGATCAGAATAAGGTGGGTTCTGAGGGAATTAGAAGCCATGCCCGACGATCGAGGCCATGACAACGACTGATTTGTATCGTCACTGTACACACATATAACACACACGTATGTTTAATAGTTTACTCTCTCTCTCTCTCTCTCTCTCTCTCTCTCTCTCTCTCTCTCTCTCTCTCTCTCTATATCTCTATATATATATATATATATCAGATCGAACGTTGTAAAGAATGTTCCAATTTATACTTGGATAATTACTTTTTTCTGCATGTATTGTCGAATTAAGAAAACTTCTTCCTACTCTATTTGAAGGTATAGCTGTATTTACACTTCCGTTGATTTCTACCTTCCATTTACCGATCGTCAAGTGAAGTAAGCAGTACTTCAGATATATTCGTATTTCATTTTGGAAGAAGTATGGGTAGTTTACATAGTCGGAAATCAGTAGCATGTCTATGATGATCCGTAATAATAAACCAGCCTCCAAATCTCACAAGTATTATAAAGCGTCTAGAATGTCCTGCTTTATTTGTCCATCTTCCAAAGGTCAGCCCTTAGACCCCGGCATCTCAAGCTTGTTTTATCTCTTGGGGTTGGGAGCTCTGCTTCAAAATAATCCAAAAATTTGTTTGTTTGGTTCCAGATTTTTGTGGACACCTTTCAATAACATCATGCAATGTCCATAGCAAACATTTTTTACTATTAAGCCATTCCTCTTCATTATCAGCTAAACATAGCCAAACTACTATGTTATTATGAACTTGAAAGCTATAACAAATACTGTGTGTAGTGAATTTTCCTGTGAGCCTCGGATCACAAGAAGCACGTGTTTTGTGTGATTTAACTACACGTGTATTTGACAAGAATTTATTTTTGTTTTCTATTTAATCTAGTTTTCTAACTATGCGGAGTTCTATAACTTATGTATATACAGATGAAATACTTATTATTATGATTAATCTCAAAGTCCAAAATCGATGTTTCTCCCAGATGAAATAACTTTCACTTTGCCTAAGTGACAGTACATATGAAAATGTACATCTGTACAATCGTCAATTGTATAAACTCAAATATCCTTCATGTATATATTCTCCTTGTGCATCTTGTTGTGTATCACTTGTTGGATAACGGCGGTAACATCAACACCAACACGTCGCATCTGTAGCAATAAAGAAGTTGTCAATCCATACAATTTAATTGTTCCTCTTCAAATATTAATTTTGTTCGAAAACTTGTTGAGAAAATACGTGACATTTGAAAGGAAACGCCATATATTTGCCGCGACATAATTTTAAGGCTACAGGCTCCACATCATTAAAGACGCGTCATAAATGTTACGGGTATTTCGTTAGAAACAGGATTGAAATATTGTCGACACAACAACCACCGGGAACCTAGTAAAGATGACACCGTAGACTAGTTCCCATAGCCACCGCTGGTGTCTCCGCACTTACCAAGTGCGTGGGAACGAACGGGAACCAGTCTACAGTGGGGGAGGGTGGAATAATCTCGTGACCTCTCGTAGGTCGGCAAAGCAACATGGCGTTTGCAGACGACGCATGGAGATATGTTCGCGACCTCGCTGAAAGTGAACTGCAGTTGATATACTATGTGTCATATATGTTCCTGGTGTGGGGAGTACTTGTTGCAGTGTCCTTACAGATTGTCAGTGCTCCGTATGGCCGCTATTCTCGGAAAGGTTGGGGAGTCGGTTTGAAGGCGAATGTTGCCTGGGTGATCCAAGAACTGCCCTCCTTCGCTGTGCCGTTACTGCTCCTCGCATTTTCAGACTCTCCCAAGTTTCATAATCTGCCAAATAAAATAATCCTCGGCATGTTTCTCATTCATTATTTTCAAAGGTACGTATACTGATTGACAATGCCAACTGTAGACTAATTTGCTGTTATATTACATGTTTTATCATATTGTGAACAATGTTATAACTTGTATTGACAGTGTTCCAATATTGTAATCTGTCATGTAATAGACATTGTATTCATAAATATATTAACACATTGTTATTTTCACTGTATCCGTTATGTGTCATCAGTTAAGTGTTTGTGGTCAAGTGTTACACAATGCTGTTGTATAATATAAACACTTCTGTTTTAAAAGGTAAGACTTGCCATGTTCAATATTACATCCCTTTGGATATAGCAAGGATAATGGCATTGCTCAGCAGGTGATCGTCAACCAGTTAGTATGATCATGTCAACAAGGCAGTATTTGCTGTCTATACTATCCATCTATGGGTAAAGTCTAAAGTTATGTATTCAACACAGCCAGCAGTCTGCAAACATGGAGCTTGTGAGGATAAAGTTGTCATTGTTCAGAACCTGAACTCCACCTTTTCTCTTAATTCTCAAGTGTGTATTGGTTTGCATACAAGAAAATATAATAAGATGAGTGTGTAAACACTACAAATAAGAGTCCATTCAGTTGTCTGATAGTGTGGGATTCCATATACAGAATGAAGTCTCTATCAGTGGTCTAATTTGCGTGGATGATATGATCACAGGTTTATCTGTGTTGTATGGCCTGTCATCAGCTGTTGGTGGAGTAGATACCTTTCATCACACCACTATGAGCCCACACCACTCAGGTGATCCAAGATTCTGATAACAGCACTCAGCATTACTCCAAAACAAAACTAACTCCTTCACATCAACACTACAGCATTTAAGTACATCTGCTTCTTAAAAGGCATATTGCCAAACCACCATTTTCCCTATTGTTACTCATTTTCACTTTGAACATATAGTTAAATCACTTGTGTGTAGAGGACCAGTAATGTATTTGATCATTTATATCCAGATTGAAAACAAATACAAAAGCTGGGTTATCATCTGTCATGTGTGCGTGACAGCACTTTTTTTTGTCTTTTCGGAGACTGAAATTGATGGCTCTTCTAACTTCGGCTGGTCCATACTTATGTGGTCAGTTGTCTATTTAGGTATCTTGTAAGGGAGACAATTGGAATATGTTTGCTAAAGATCCCCAGAAAACAAGTTGTCAATCTCATGTAAATCAAATCATGGTGGTCACTACCTCTAAACAAAGACCTGAAGACATACATTTACAAGTCACATCAGTTCATCTATTTAACCAATCAAAGAAATGACTAACAAGAAATTTACACTAGCCAAGCAGATATCAGATCCCTGAAGCTTAATGGTGCAAATTTCTAAACTTTCATTCCATATTATGCTTTTTTTTAATTCACAATTAAAAATTGAACAAAAGTCAATTTTGGAATGGCCAATAGATGGCTGAGATTGCATGGCAGTACTTTTCATGGGCGGCAGAGAGTCGCTTCTATTGCAAGTGTTTTTCCCACTGAAGCAAGAGATAGACGATATGACAGTGTGTTAAGCATGATTCAAAAAGACATTCCTATTCTGTAAGTGATGCTCTAGTTTGTCGAGTAGAAGGTTAGTTTTTGTAGTGGTAAGATTGAATCAGACCTGCTGTTTGAAGATGAATACCTGGTTGAATTTTGACAGATTCACACACATCCAGAATTTGTAACGACCATTCACAGTAGAGGGTACCTGAGATCAAACTGTATTGATGCCGCTGAGGTACAGTGCTCCAGCACAGGAAAGTCCCTATCAGACTTGTAGGTTATTGTTTGGTGTACTGCATTAGCATATCTTTTTTCAGTTTACAGGATTTGTCAGACCACTCTGTCTCTGGTGGATTAGGAATGTAAATAGGTACAAGTTCAGAACTCAAACAACAAAAACCTACCAAGTATTTACTTTTTTAAATAATTATCAGATATATATTATATAGCCTAATTAGGGTTTTCTTATCCCCCTTTTGCCAAACAGAATAAAAGAAATATTGCGCTGAACAAATGTTTTTCACCTATTGGTATCCAGAAGATCTGTAAACTATAAGAGTACGGTCTAAAGAGTTCCACTGAAACATTCCAGGACATGAGTGAGACTTTTACAGGTCATTAGACATCACAACACTATCTTCACAGTTTATGTATATATTACACTACACTGCAGACTTTTCATTTTAGGGAATATCAAAATGAAACGTGAAAGTTGAATATTTCTCACATGATCACATCTATGCACCAGATGCTGGGTGCAGGGAAACAAATCATCAAACAGAACAAGCATGAAACATGCTTCAAGAAACTTAAGGATCATCTGAAGATGAGAAAATGAAGAAGGTTTGATGTTGAAAACATTTATACAATAGTAAAGAATTTTGTAGGTTGTGTAGGTCTGAACTGATGAATTATTTCAGTTTTAGACTGCACCTATAATATTTCCTGCTATATATGTTGCTTACCAGCATACAAATGTCAATATGAGCCAGGTAAGCAGCTTGGTATTGAGTGACTTTGTTAAGTATGGAGAGGACACATGTTCTGTGAAGAAGGTAACAGCTCAGCTAAACTAATATTGGCAGACATTGAGAAATACATCATTGAAGTTATTGATGCTTTATCTTTGCAGAACTTTTGTTTTTTCAATACTGATAAAAGGAGGCAAAGCTACACCTCTGGTGCCATTCCTTATGGCATGTGTGTTCTGTGCAACCAATGGGTATATCCAGGGTCGTTACCTGCTCAAGTATGCTGACTTCAGTACTGACTGGGAGAGGAAACCTACTTTCCTTCTAGGTATGTGTTCAATCAGTCTCTGAATTAGTTTGTCTGGATTTATGAAGACACAGGTATCAGTTAAAATAAATGCACCAGATAATTTCATATTGCGGTGTTCACCTGTATTTAGATGGATCCACCTGAAGTAGTTGGTCCGTACACATCCATTATGGTAAGGATCTAAGGTACTTGATGTCTGTGTCTATATTTCTCTACTGGACAGAGCTTGTTATTCTATCTTTATTCCATCAACACGGAGACACCGGCCCCCTAGTATCCCAGAATCCTATGACTGTGTGATAGAGTCCCAGATTTGACCTTTCCCATTATTGTGAGTTTCCAAGACCTGTGTCATTTAGGGCTTTCCTCATATGTAATGCTGACAAACTTTCATATGGCTTAAATACTATTAATAGCAAGATTAAATGCAACTCACCAACTCTGAAATTTTGCAGAGCTAAAGATATTCTTACAGTTACCAGTTGTGGTGTTCTGAATAATTGAAATAATCGAAGATTGGTCGCAGTGACTAAATGATCAAGCAATCAGTCGTATTTTCTCGTAATCGAACACAAACAATTTTGAAACACTTGTTTGCATTAAAAAAATTTTTTAAAGGTTTGTTTTGTCTGTGTCATAAGCACTACAAGCTCGTTCCAAGCCATGATTGAATTTATCTCAAAGACTCCAGGAAATTTATGTTCCTAACATACTAGTAATCCTTTAAAGATGTGAAATTTGCAAATGTATTTTGTACAATTTGAAAAAACAACAACTCAAAAACGTCTGTGCATTAACAAACATAACAGGAATTTTGATAATGATGCAACCCAATTATTTTCGATGACTGATCGGTTGTAATGAACCAATCTTCAATTATGAGATTTTAACCAATTCCCAACACTAGTTACCAGTAACTCTGACAATTTTATTTCAGGCATTGCAATGTTTTTCTCAGGGATGTTTATCAATATCCAGTCTGACTCAATACTGAGGAACCTCCGTCAGCCTGGAGAAACCTGCTACAAGATACCCAGAGGTACATATTTGTCAGGGGTCCAGATGCATTGTATGCCTTCAAGTCTTCAACACAATTTTAACATAATCAAATGACTTGCATTCCAGCTGGTCTTTTAATGTTAAGACCTTTTGATTTCCATGATATATTTGCATTGTAGTATCCATGGATAACATGTAGTGTTCTGGCATGTGTGTGTATTTCCTGCATGCATGTGTTTGAGTATTCTTCTGGCACCAGTTAGCATCTGTTTTTCCTGCTACAGGAGGGATGTTTGAATATGTTTCTGGTGCCAACTTCCTGGGCGAGATTCTGGAATGGTGGGGCTTTGCTATAGCCAGTTGTACCCTCCCAGCATTGGGCTTTGCTGTATTCACCACATGTAATATCGGCCCACGTGCCTGCCAACACCATCAGTGAGTGTCTGACTTTAACCACTCTTTATATCTTAGTTTAGTAAGTTCATGGACCATATTGAATAATACTATTACCAATACCCTACCTCTATTACATTATAGACACAAATCTCATATTGACTGCAAGCCATTTATCGACAGTTGCCAAGAAAGGTGTACTTATGAAATACTTTGTAAAACATAGTCAGTAGGAAGAATGATGGGGTACCTCATGCAAAGAATCTTATGTTCAAGACACACAATTCATCTCCCTCATAGATACCAGTTCTTGATAGTGAGCAATTACAGATATAGATCATTACTTCTATATAGCCACATCTAAGTTATCGCATCAAAAATGCAAATTTTGATGTTGTGTGAGTCTGCCTCTGCAGCAGTGGAACAGTACTGGAAGACGTGAAGATAACCACTCCAACTATAGCTGAATTGCTACACTTCAGAGAAGTCATGCATATCAGGCATGGCACAATTGAGGGGGTTGAAGAGTCCAGGGATCAGTAGCCTTAGTTACATGTTAAGTCTGCTTACTTATCATAGGTTAAGCACCTAGACATCATCTTGGTCTTAGAGTGTTCTATGCTTCTGGTGAATGGATGCATCAAGAGGTGAGACTGAATTTGTCATCAGAGAACCAGACGTGAAGTCAGAGCAGATAATGCTGTCCAAACCAAAACTCACACTTTTCCTTCTGTGAAGGATCGCAACTCTCTGAAATTTGCATCAGAGTTGTATTAGGAAGAGCCTTCTGCCAGGGCAGTTTCTCCTTTTATGATACTACTTTCATGGCAACTGTTTATAGTTTGCAGTGAATCTGATCATCTGATGGGACAATCAGACAAAACAAATGTTTTGTATGTTTTATGTAATGGAGGTAGTATTCTCATTATTATACACAACAATAATTACTGTTTAAAATGTAATTGTGGTTTATCTCATAAGCTTAAGGAATATAGTCATATTTTTGTGGATCACATTGTATCACCAATAACACGTTGAAGTCTCACAGTAACTGTTAATGTGTGATGTGTTGTTGTTGCAGGTGGTACAGACAGAAGTTTGAAGATTATCCCAAGACTAGAAAAGCTGTTTTCCCCTTCATTCTATAACTTGTATTTCTGAGGAATACCTGTATGTGCCAACAGACATCTTGTATCTGACTGACTCCACACTGGCTGTTCACATATACATTTTGTTGCTTACAATGTGAAAAAAATGATCTGGGCTTTTGAAGTAATTATTTACTGATGACTTGAAGAATTTAAAGTAGCCTGTGTACCCACTTTTAGTTTGTTCCTAGAGAATCTGTGTCGGGTAGTAATCTCACAGTTTCGGGCACTCACTATTACATACATGATACAGTGTCCTCCCATCAGAGAGTTATCCTCTCTGTCAGACAACAAACTGTATGACTGGCTGCACAGGTAATCCTCTAACTGGCTGCACAGGTAATCCTCTACCTGGCTGCACAGGTAATCCTGCACAGGTAATCCTCTAACTGGCTGCACAGGTAATCCTCTAACTGGCTGCACAGGTAATCCTCTAACTGGCCCCTGCATTAATATGGTTTGGTCCAACAGTCAGTGACAGAAAAACAAAGACTTCATTTCTTCTCATATTATTCTGCATCCTATAGGGAAACTTGCACATTTTACTATCAGAAAGGACAAAATATAATATGTGTTTAATAATACATTCCAGAACATGAGCTAGTAGTCTGTCATGGATAAACTCAAAGTGTACATATCATTGGTTGTAATTACATTTAAGGAAATGTTAATTTAATATGTATTGATGATGTAAGTGTAATCAAATCTATACACATAGCAGCATGTAAATATTTTCTTCATGTTAAATTATCCTTACCAAACCATGTTTTTGTGGTCATTATCTGTTGGCATTTATGGAAAAATGCAAAGTTTGAGGCATTAAAAATATGCATTTTAATAAGCATGGCATTCTTTTATATTTGAACATTCTAAAACAAGCTCATATTCATCAAATAAACCTTTGTTTAGATGTTAGTTACATGAAAGTTGTGCAACAATTAAGACGTTTTGAGTTTCGTTATCTTGATTTAAAGGTCACACAAACATTGAAATGGGGCATTGTTGTAAAGAGCCAACAGAACATTATTTGACAAATATTGAATACTGTTGTGAAAGCAGAAACATGTACATTACTAGATAGTAATATAAATTACCACCAGTACATAAACTGACTAGGTTTATGTCATCTAATGTTGATTTTATTGGTAACTTGTAGATGTACATTATCATTGAAGTGGAAAGGAATTGAGCTTGGATAGGTATTGTGCATTACTGAGTTGAGAAGTTTATTCCTAAGCAGTCTAATATTTCCACCAAGTCCAGTTTGGGACAGTTCATAAAGAAATGGGTGTAGACCTGATTAATCCATTTGCCATTGACTAATGGGACACTAACCTAATGGGTGAAGCCCAGGGAATTGGTCACTGTACTATAACATGAATTTGTCGGAGGTGTCACAATAAACACTACAGATTTAAACTGTTCTTATGATTGTTGCCACATAGTCTTTATTTTTCTCCATCATGGTGGTAGTCATCAAGAAGTAATGATTTGTTTAATGTACAGTTACAGGTTGCAAAACTCAGATTTAAGTTTACTCAGATGTTTTGAGTAGACAAAATAGTTTAAGGGACCAGTATTGCACAATAGAACCCCTGGGTCAGTGGGAACCAAGTGAGGAGTCTTTTGGGAAGGCTTGTTTCAAAACTGACATTTCATAGTAAGATATAATGTGCTTTTGCATTGTGGCGTATCACAAAGGGTCATAGAAAACATGTACTAGGACATAGTGAGGGTCAGCCAAAAATATAACAAGCATTAATGTCATTATTTTCACTCCATCAGTGCTTTTACATCATCTGCCCCCACCTGGAGTACTGGATGACCTGGATGGCAACTGTCATGGAGCAGCTGTAGCTGCATACCAGTAATACTGCACAATGTGGACCATAACGTATCTGTGATTGCTGTGGGTGGTTTTGGTTTCATTTCATTTTCTTTGAATAAACTCTAGTCCTAATGTTATGCTGTTTAGTTATATGTAATTGAAAGTTACTTTCTAGGAGGCCTGAGACCTCGCTGAGATTTCAGGTTAGAATTCGTCTTCAGCAACCTGTGAATCATTTGAAGTGACTCAGTGCATTTTGTGTTCAGACACGGTGACCTGGTCTCCTCTAGAGACCAGGTTAAAATTATACTTCAACAGCCCATGTTTGCCTAAAAGACAGCTAATGGACCAGATTCCCAGCAACATCAGTGACCATGTGTCAGTGTCATCTGACCTCATGGGACTAGTGATAACAATGTCTGATAGTCTGGTCCTCTTGGGACAAGTGATAACAATGTCTGATGGTTTGGGACTAGTGATAAGAATGTCTGATAGTCTGGTCCTCTTGGGACAAGTGATAACAATGTCTGATAGTCTGGTCCTCTTGGGACAAGTGATAACAATGTCTGATAGTCTGGTCCTCTTGGGACAAGTGATAACAATGTCTGATAGTCTGGTCCTCTTGGGACAAGTGATAACAATGTCTGATAGTGATAACAATGTCTGATAGTCTGGTCCTCTTGGGACAAGTGATTACATGGTCTGATAGTCTGGTCCTCTTGGGACAAGTGATAACAATGTCTGATAGTCTGGTCCTCTTGGGACAAGTGATAACAATGTCTGATAGTCTGGTCCTCTTGGGACAAGTGATAACAATGTCTGATAGTCTGGTCCTCTTGGGACAAGTGATAACAATGTCTGATAGTCTGGTTTTCTTGGGACTAGTGATAACAATGTCTGATAGTCTGGTTCTCTTGGGACAAGTGATAACAATGTCTGATAGTCTGGTCCTCTTGGAACTAGTGATAACAATGTCTGATAGTCTGGTCCTCTTGGGACAAGTGATAACAATGTCTGATAGTCTGGTCCTCTTGGGACTAGTGATAAGAATGTCTGATAGTCTGGTCCTCTTGGGACTAGTGATAAGAATGTCTGATAGTCTGGTCCTCTTGGGACTAGTGATAAGAATGTCTGATAGTCTGGTCCTCTTCATTATTCACAGGCTGAGGAGTGAGGGAAATTACTACAGAATGTCCTTTCAGTGATCCACATGTTGAAGCCCCACCCTGAGAATGGTAACATACTACAGTGAATATATCTTAGGTTATTCTGTTGTTTAACACCACACTGTTAACTATTCAGAATATATGACCGTAATATATAAGTAATTGAGTCTACATCTGACAATCCATCGATTACCATCATTAGCACGATTATGGAGTTTGGAAACAATGACGTGCATAAATTGATGTTTTGTGGTAGCAATACCCCTTCACGTTGACGCCTGCAAATCCATGATGCATGGTTTTATAGTTTGATCCAAATGCAACATGTAAAGTGTGTGGACTCAGGGACGGCCGTGGCACTGGGCAGGACCCCCGTGACAACATCCTGGAGGCGTAGGTTGTGCAATTTGTGCGCCATCGTGGACGTCGTTTTGTGTTTCAGGATGGCTACGTAAGAGCACACATGACTGCTATCGTTCCCGAGTACGTCCGACAGGAGACCACTATGACCTAACCCGCCGTGATATTGCTGGAATATTGCTAAGAGCGGCGTAAAACCATACTCACTCACTCACTAGGACCTAACCCAGGCGAGCACTTTGTCCAAACTCATCAGCTTAGAACATGCTTGGGATATTATCCTTAGACGGCGCGTAACATCACATCGGCTCGACTACCCGAAGTCAGTCAGTATCATCAACTCCAAAGCCCTAACACCATCGACTCAACTACCCGAAGTCAGTCAATGTCCTCAGATCCAAAACCCCTAGCACCATCGGCTCAACTACCCAAGTCAGTCAGTATCATGAGCTCCAAACCCCTAGCACCATCGGCTCAACTACCCAAGTCAGTCAGTATCATCAACTCCAACCCCCTAGCACCATCGGTCCGACTACCCGAAAGTCACTGAGTATCATCAGCTCTAAACCCCTAGCGCCATCGGCTCAATACCCGAAGATCAGTCAATATCTTCTCAGCTGAATGGGAGGCAATTCACGTAAGTCGCTCGACAAACGCAGTAGTCTTTATCAGAATCGCTAAAGACACAACACGTCGTCAGTCAAATATCCCATACAAATACCCAACACTGTTAGATCAAGAAAATATGTGGAGCCATTTTTTAACCAGTCTCACATGGAAATCCTGTCCTGACTTTAAACTAATTCAGAACGGATTTGCTGACATGATACACCCGGAGTGACCTGCTCACGGATATTGTAATGTTGTTTTTGGCGTTTGGAAAATTTCCTAGAAAAATAAATGTATGTGTGTTATATGTGTAACCCGCTCTAACAGCTATAGTTGTGCGTGGAAATGCGCGCTAGAAACAAGAAAATACCGTACTTACCCTACAAGTCCAGTAATATTTAACCTTTTCAAGGTTGTTTTTATCCTAGTCCATCCAACTAGTTTGGCCCCAAAGTCCATCATCCTGTAATACGCACCAGCGATAAGACGTTTGTTAGACGTAACGGCTCGCTACGGCTGAAACTACTTTTCACCATGTGGTCCTGCCGCACAAATTGTGTAAGTAAAGTCAAACGTTAAGCCTTTTGGGGGCAAATTTATCGTATTTTGATAACATAATAGTTATCTAGTGACTTGATCTAAAAATCGGACTAAATGTTACTTTAATTGTGTAACAATTCGAAGTTATTTGGTATGTTTTGGCATCAAATGGAAATAATGTCTGGTTTTAATTGTCATAACAACATACATTTCACAAACCAATGATATAACAGGTGACAAGTATTACGATATGTATGTGTGTAATTGGGTGTGGATTAATTCAATTAAATAGTGAAGTTACAGACGAATTTCTAATTTGAGAGGCTACGGTATGCTAAACGTGGAGACACATGTTTGCTAGTGGCAAATTGTTTTCGTTGATACGGTTTCCTTTTTTTTGGTCTTCCAGGTACATGAAGTACAGGTGTTACGACTCCGATGTAAAAAGGGCCCTATTTGATGGAAATATCAAAAAAATGTGTGACACCCATCCAAAAAATTAACCGAAAATTAGAGCAGAATGTTTGTCGCCAGTGACTCGCCAAAGACGGGCAAATTGCAATATGTGACCAAAATTTTCAAATTGTGCCTATAAAAGTTCGTAATAACGGACAAAAGGTACTTCCGTCACCTCACAGTGAGATCACACTGCGTGCATATGAAAGTGAGACATTCTCAGATGAATCAAGTGCGCAGCCAGAAACAAGTACAACTGGTGGTACAGAATCACAAATAAGTACGGTCTTTTCAACTAAAGAAATTAGTGATAATAAAAGTCATGAAGCTTTCTTCGGAGAAGGTGGCAAACCTAGTAGTGACACCTCGGACTCACCAAATGAGAGTATTGACGAAGATGTTGAAAATTATTACTATCAGTTGTAGATAGTTTGAGAGAAGTTGGTAGATATTCAGAATGGAAACGTTTCTGTCACATGTTAGCCGACAGAACATTCCCAACAGAAAACAGCGCCTTCCATTTATTCATTGATGTTATCAAACTACAACGAATCTGCGGTTCAGCAAAGAGGTCATGTGACTTTTTGGAAAACAGGTTACAGACTGTTTCACGGTCGGTTTATCCGATTTATGTCTGGATGTAAAACCTTGGTGAGGTTGAGTTGGGGGATTCCACACTGGATAATTATTATCCATCTTCTTCAAGTATCAACTTTGCTGTCCCAAGTTTGAATATTTTAAATTCAAATAATCGTCAAACAATTCCTCATGACATAAAGCCAGGCATATCTCAATTTCTTTCACTTTTGAAGTTAAATCAGCTTTGAAATGGAGTTTTACAAACTGCAATAGTTGTTAATGTATTGATGTCACTATTGCGGTGACCATTAGCAAACCAGTAACAGACACCATAGCAAACTGTATTTATGCACATGGCTTACCATTAGCGACCGTAACATCACATTTATAAAATGTGAATATCATGTCATATCAGCCTTTCTTGACATATAGCGGTCAGTGCAGTTAACAATCATGTTATGGTAATGCTTCTTGAAAATAAATATATGAGTTGAATTTCTCTTTACGACAAATTAAGATAATGATAAACAAATGAAATCGAAAGCATCAACACTGTTTAGAATCAAAGGGTCATAAATTAGTAAATTTACATTTAAAACAATTCCTTTCAACACAGTCTCATTTTCAAATACTTAATCTAAATACTGGCTATCTATGATTGACAAGATTTTTACATTGTAGTATATTAATGTGATCAAATGTACCTGTGACGCAACCAATGTTATTCTGCCGTAGCGAGCCGTAACTCTGTACATAGCAAACCGTAACGGCCACTAGCAAACGTCTTATCGCTGGTGCGTATTACAGGGTGTGTCCATAGTAAAAACCTTTTTTTTCTAAGCCTCCTTCCAGCCATTATATTCGAAAGAATCCGCGATGCAAGGGAAAAGAAATCGGTCTGGCCTTATATTTTTACCTAGTTGTTAGTAATGTTGCTGAGACATAATGTTAGTGTAGTTATTTGTGAGTATGTTATGTTTATTGGTCTTAAAGAAAAATATTATATTGCTTTTTCTAAGAAAGGTTGTTTCTATTCTTTCACATCTACGGGTCTCGTAACTGATGGTTTGAATAAAAACATGATATTTGTAAATGTTCATGCACATGACCACACATTCATATACTTCTGTGAAGTGAATATTACAAAATGGCATTGACTTAAAATATATTGAAGTTGAATGGATATCATCAGAATCTATTTTGGAACCATAAAAGGCGACGTCTAAACAGTGTTGCTAATATCACAATCTTAGGTGTTTACTAATCATAATAAGCTAACTCTGTTGGCTGAAGTAAGCTGAGGAAACATTATTTTTTTTCTTTTTAACTTTAAAATACGTGAAAAAGAAAAATTCTTGATAATTGACAATAATGAGATATTCTACTTCGGCCTACAGAGTTGCCATAGCAGTACCGATCCATGTTTATCATGAATATGTTTTCATCAAAACAATTATGTAATTTTTTCTTTTTGCATCTTTATTTTTATATTTTATTTTTATTGATTTTTCAGTTACTGTTTTTGATATATGAAAACTAGAAAAAACACCATGTACAATTAGTAAACAAAGCAATTATTTTTAAAATATTAAAAAAAATATTTTCCGGTTGGCTACATTGAATTTCAAGAAAGCTTGAAAATGGGCACTTTCCAAGGGACTGTTTCCCTGTTGCCATTAATAATCAAACAAACAGAAAAGGAACCGGAAAGTAAATTACAGACGTACCAGTAACAACCGTGTCTTTTCGACTTTTTTTAAGACGACATGCACTTTATGAATAACATAGAGTTGTCTCCCTTTAAATAATTTATATTATGGCTGAGCCATCTCGTAGTATGGAAGAGAGACCCAGTACTCTTTTACAGTTACCGGAACACATCATACAGAATGTGCTGTCATATCTCAGTTACCATGAAATAAGTGAAGCTCGTCGGGTATGCATAGTGTGTTATCATAGTGTAAAAAAGTAAGAAGGACCGTGATCTTCTCAGACCTTCTATTTTCGCTCACAGTGCAGCAAACTTGATACAACCTTGCTATACTGGTATACTTGTACACAATGTAACAAATTTCTGTTTTTTGTGACTTCATAAAAGAAAACTGAGTAACATACTGACACTAAAGTAAAGGTCCTTTGAAAGGATTGCAATGGTTGTAAAAATGTTGTGATGTGTAAAATAATACCACTCCACAAAGAGAAATGTTGCCTTGGAAACGAGTGTGAAGAAGACTGTATCTTCAATAACATTATAACACAGATATGCTTTGGTTTTTTATTGTATTTGGTCCCAGAGGTTTTAATAGTATATTCCACTGATGGGCACATCCTGTGCAGGTAGTTGTTGTTTGTAGTCAAAAGGGTCAAAGGACGAAAGGGCCAAAATTTAAGAAGTCAAAAGGGCCAAAGAAAAGTCAAAAGGACCAACGAAAAGTCAAAAGGCCATATCATTTTGTCTAATGATATGGCGCTCCATTGATTGATTGATGTGACCATGCAAATGTGTAATGGGCCAGAGGCCCCTTTACGGAATAAACAATACCATTAATAGGAAGCTAAAGTGAGTGAATATATCTCACAAAATAGTTTCGAAAATGTGTGACATTGTGCCTTTAAGGATTTTTTTTGTCAAATTGAAAATATATAACTTGTTTAAAGTTGCATTCCAAGCCCAATGAGCTTCCACCCCTTCTGGACAGTTGTGTGATGACAGATGTGGGACTGCTTCAGGTGTGTGATGACAGATGTGGGACTGCTTCAGGTGTGTGATGACAGATGTGGGACTGCTTCATATGTGTGATGACAGATGTGGGATTGATTCAGGTGTGATGACAGGTATGGGGTTGCTTCAGGTGTGTGATGACATGGTGGGACTGCTTCAGGTGTGTGATGACAGATGTGGGACTGCTTCAGGTGTGCCATGATGACAGATGTGATGACAGGTATTGATTCAGGTGTGATGACTGCTTCAGGTATGGGGTTGCTTCAGGTGTGTGATGACAGATTGATTCAGGTGGATTGGGGTTGCTTCAGGTGTGTGATGACAGATGTGGGATTGCTTCAGGTGTGTGATGACAGATGTGGGATTGCTTCAGGTGTGTGATGACAGATGTGGGATTGCTTCAGGTATGATGGCAGGTATGGGGTTGCTTCAGGTGTGTGATGACAGATGTGGGATTGCTTCAGGTGTGTGATGACAGATGTGGGATTGCTTCAGGTGTGTGATGACAGGTGTGGGATTGCTTCAGGTGTGTGATGACAGATGTGGGATTGCTTCAGGTGTGATGACAGATGTGGGATTGCTTCAGGTGTGCCAGTACTTCAACCGCTGCTGTCAGGAATTACTTACACAGGGCTTCAACCACATCGACAAGTTTCATGCACAGATACAGAAGGAGGTGAAGTCCAAGTTGCCACGCCGGGAGTCGGAGCGACGGAACCACGAACTGTCCCGCCATGTGGACATCCTCTCAGCAGTGGAGACCAGGTTGTCGCTGCTGTCCATGACCTACTCCAAGTACATAGACCATGGTCTCTGTTGCTTCATCCCGGGCAAGGTAGGTGGGACTGGGCAGTCTTCAGTTTGGTTTGACTTACGGAGAGCTTGGAGAATGATGGGACAGGCTTTTTCAGACCCATACGAAGTGCAGTAATTTGCAAACCATCAACAGTTATTATGATAAATATACTACCCATCAAAAGTCTCGACTCACTTAAAGCATTCACTATATGTTATGTATATATATGTGGTTACATCGAAGATGAATTTCTCCCCTAACTTGGGGAACCAACTGCAAACCTTATGCAGATGAATTGCATTAGGATCATGCATCAAATTGCTGAAAAACGTGCAAATATCGTGCATGTGAACAGCTGCGTTTTGGTGTAAAGTTTTGTTAAGAATTCGCCAATTTTCACTGAGTTTCATCATTCATTGAACTCATGACAATAATCTTTTCAATGTTACGAATTTGTTTTACAATACATCAGTTCATGTGTAAACAGTACCTTTAAACAGTATGGAATATTTTGCAAAATCTAGTTTAGAACAGTTGACTGAAGTAAGTGGCTACATTTACACTAGTAAGTCTAAACTTTTGATGGGTAGTATACATTGTATATATTTTCAGTACAAGGAAGTCATTTACTTATAACATTAGTACATGTGTTCTGATTATGGATGGCTGTTTAGTTTTGGGTCATGTGAACTTTTAAACTAGAATGTTAAGGTATCAAGACATTATTGGGATAGTGTTCAGGGGTGGAAATAACCCATTGCCCGACACCCGAGTCCAGTGTTTTTTTCTGCCGGGCAAGCAAATTTGTATATCACACTGTACCGGTGTCCAGTTGACTTTCCAATATTTATTATGTGGTTTATTTAAAAAATCAACAAGAAAACGGCCGGTATAGTGGAAAAATTATCAGGGCAAGTGATTTTACATGTGCCACTGTACCGGAGTACACTAGCAATTTTAAAGTTCCTTCCACCCCTGGTGTTGCAGTTGTTTGATGACTACATGGCATCCACCTTTCCTAGGTCCTGTATGTTGCTAGAATCTCATTAGTGGGGTCATATTATGATCTAACGTAAATGTATGGACGTGTTTATATGTATACAGATGTGTCTCTTGTAACATGATGTTTATGGGATAAGCTAGCGATATCTGCATGTTGCCACCAGGTTTTGGATGAGCTGTTCACACTCCTCAAGAAGTTGCAGGAGAAGAAGTCACAGCCTCCCAGAGCTCATGAGTTCTTGCAGGAGCTCCGTGACATCTCCTCCATGGCTATGGAACACTTTGAAGAACACATCATCCCAGCACTCAAACAACAGCTGCCTGCAGGCTCTCTCTCACTTGCCCTGCCAGATCCATTCTCTCCAGACCAAGGTAAACAAACACTTGTCTTGTCAAGGAAAGACTATCAACCTATTCATGGAGAGTGAGTGAGTTTAGTTTTACGCCGTTTTTAAGCAATATTTCAGCAATATCACGGTGGGGGACACCAGAAATGGCCTTCACACATTGTACCCATGTGGGGAATCGAACCCGGGTCTTTGGTGTGACGAGCCAACGCTTTAACCACTAGGCTACCCCACCACCCCTATTCATGGAGAAGGTTAAATAACAAAGTATGATAGGATTATCATCATAAGTCAGGTTAATACCTTGATAATGTTAGCAATTTTGATGAAATCTGTGGGGTTTTTCTGAAACTAGATGGTAAGGCATCACCAGGATATCTTAGGTTATGGAGTCTGTTTTATCATGATCACAGTCCTTGTGAATGTACCTGACACACAAATCAACGATGTTTAACGGATATTGTGATTGTGAAGATTGTCATCATGTAATGCAGATATTCTGACTGTATTCTGAAATGCTATGATGTTCTGAGGTGGATCCAGTATTTGGAAAATAACACATAATTCCCAAGCAACTTGGCAGGGGCTGAGCACCCACGCACACCACACAACATCACGCAACACAACACCATATCACCAGTGATGTAGTTTAACTCTGACTGTAACATATGTTATATTTGGGATTACGAAGTCTGCAGTCTAGACTACCAGTTGTCCGACTTCCATTTTTGTGAAAGCCGCGGTGGCTGAGCGGTCTAGGCGTCTGACTTTGTGTGCTGGCGATTAGGTGCCTGACTCTGAGGGTGTGAGTTCAAAACCTGGATGGGACTCAACCCCCCAAAAGTACTAGAATCTGTACTTTACTGAGAAAGTGTAATCCCAAATATAACATATGTTACATTTGACCACTTTCTAAAATGGCATTGTGTATTTAACTCTGAATGCAAGAATACTAAAAACACTTGGATATTTATTTAGACTATTGATATTTCGACTTTGCATTGATGTATTGCCATGAACCCATGACCAATTGCACCACATGAGCAGTAAGATAAATCAAGGTCATTCTTAAGGTTATACCCCTGAGTATGTTCAATCATGCTGCTTTCTGTGCAGGCTCCTCATCCTCCATGGTCCACTTCTCAACGCCCATGCGTATGCCGTCATTGCGGCAGGAGCTCCTGCGTCTGCAGCATCAGATGCGTGTGCAAAGTGGTAGTGTGCTGTCATACAAGAAGGAGCTGACAGAACAGAAGAACAAGATGGTAGAGCAGCGGAAGATCAACATGGAGCAGGAGAAGAAACTGCAGGAACAGGATCGCAAACTGCAGGAACAGACTCGAATCATATCTGAGCAGAACATCCGCATTGATAGACTTGAGAACTCCATCAGTGACTTGGACAACAGACTTGCCACAATGTACAACCAAGTGAGTGGTGGCAGTGCTAACATGGACAGCAATGTGAAGAGTGACCAGCCTCATGGTCCCACACACAGGACCAACAGGAGAAAGTGTGGGAAGTCAAACCAGGAGGTACAGATGACGACAATCAAAACCCGCCCGAAGAGGAAGCAAGCATGTGAACTTAATGAAGAGGACTGTGGAAGAGGCAAAGTCAAAAGCCTGAAGAGAAAGAAATATTGACAACTGTGATAAAGTGGGAAGGAAGTGAAAAGAGTGAAACAATAAATCTGGATATGCAAGACTGTACTATGTGACATAATACATACAGGTTGATCTTGGTTTTATTAAACTTGCAACTAGTAAACAAGCAAAATCTGATTTTAAGAAATTCATTTATAATGGTCTTTCAAAGAAACAGGTGAAAATTGTGTCATTTGTGTATGAGACAATGAAGTGAAGATGTCATGGAGCTGTCTCCCAGTGCATGTATTGTTTCATCTGGAGTTGAGAGTGTTGCTGTTGCCTATTTAGCACATAGGCGGATCCAGAGGGGGGGTGCAGGGGTGCGCACCCCCCTTTTGTGCTGAATGTTTGTTAAATGACCATTGAAACTCGGGTGAAAATAAAGTGTGCACCCCTCCTTTTCTCAATAGTGTCACCCCCCCTTTCTCAAAAAGCTGTATCCGCCCCTGTAGCATATGAGGTGTTAGTGTATAGAGGCAAAGGTGAAGCCTCACAGGCCGAGTGTGAGCTTCACAGGTTGAGTGTGAACCTCACAGGTCAAGTGTGAGCCTCACAGGTCGAGTGTGAGCTTCACAGGTTGAGTGTGAGCCTCACAGGCCGAGTGTGAGCCTCACAGGTCGAGTGTGAGCCTCACAGGCCGAGTGTGAGCTTCACAGGCCGAGTGTGAGCCTCACAGGCCGAGTGTGAACCTCACAGGCCGAGTGTGAGCCTCACAGGTCGAGTGTGAGCCTCACAGGCCGAGTGTGAACCTCACAGGCCGAGTGTGAACCTCACAGGTCAAGTGTGAGCCTCACAGGTCGAGTGTGAGCCTCACAGGCCATCTTATGCAAAGAAAGTAATTCCATACACAACTAAATGTAGTATCATAATGTGTCACAGTCACCAAACATTCTGTCGTGATGTAATTATCAGGGAGACACCCCCTCAAGTCTACTTCATGTAACTTCAGTTGATTCAATTGATAAAGAATAAATGGAACTTGAGTGAAGTGTCTGTTAGTTTAGGGCAAATCTGTTTATACTGTAAGATTAAAGATCGGGCAGAGTACTAGTTTGCTTCATGATGTTTACAGACATTGTCTACTAGTACGAAGTATTTCTCATCATCCATTACTATCCAAGTTGTAACTGATGAGACAGTGGAAGAAGGTGATTTCAACCTTCAGATTGTATGCATGGACAGTGATTCGGTGACTATTGAAGGGACAGAATGTTGACAGTTCTGTATTTTTAAATCAGAAATGAATTTTCTCCAGATTTAGTTCTCAGACCAAAACACCAGTGCCCAAACAGCACAGCCAACATCATTACATAGAGTAAACTGGCTTCAGACTGGATTTTTTATTAGAATATTAAATATTGTGTTTTTCTGAGGGATGAGTTATAAAATACTCATTGTCAACTTGATTATATTTGAAGCCAGTAACTCTTGTAACCAAAGTATCTATCGCAGAGCACATCTTACAGTTCACAGTCCTTCAATGTGCTTTTCATAAATTTCATTTTGGGCAAGTTTTGATGAATATATACGCTATGAAACGTTTCATTGAGAAAATATCCTTATACGTGAAAAACTATTTCCATTTGTGTAGTTATCCTCCACATACTGTCATCAAACCCCGTCAGAGAGCTTGCAGTGTGGTCACTTATATATGTAAAGGTATATTGCCACGCACCTCACTGTCACAGATGTAGCAGCCAATCAATAGAATTATGCAAAACAATATATAAAGCACACCAGAAGGCTTATATAATTCTCATCTGTTCTTATTTCAACATAAGTGCATGTTTCAAATCACGGCTTACAACCATGTTTGTGTTACTGGAGCAGAATATGGCGAGCAGAGAGTTTAGGCAGCTCGGGGGTTATCAGCTATTGCTTTCAAGCATTTCTCCAGAACGGTTTACACACCCTTTACATGTGGTAGAGATAGTTTACAAAAGTGTAACAGTCCCATCGAGACACATGATGGGACTCCTGTAACATATCTTTGTCATACAATGACTCTTCCCTTGGAGTACAGGTCAGCTCCACAGTCGAGGGCAGTTGGGTGTATGAAGAACCTGAATGTTTGAATAGACCTCCTTTCCAGGGTTTACTTGTCCATTTGTGGTTTGCAGGACATATATTTATCTAGTATTTATGCGTGTTAATCATTGTTAGAAGGGCCAGGAAGTTTTAGATGTTTGTTTGCTTTGTTGTGAAACATGCTATCCCATCCTCATGGTTTTGTGAGTGTAATCACACGAAGTGATGTCTGCCTGCTGCCATGGAGTGGGTCATACACAGGTGTTCAGACCTATTTTCACAAACCCTTTCGTCAAGTTTCAACGTATGTTTTAGCAAAGACCTTTTGTTAAAAATCCAACACTTATTTCTGGAAAGTGTAAAGGTTTTGCACATCTCAGGGTAATTCTTTGGAAAATAACTCCATTGTTCAGAAATGCTGAAATTTCAACATTATACTTTCATATTTGTCAGTGTATTTTGCCTCTTGCTATCAGATTTGTATTAAGAAATAAGAACCATTGTTCTAACTGATACTTACTAATGAAAATCCAGTTATAGTTTAACCTGATGATCAAACAAAACGTTATGAGGATTGAAACATATCAAAGTTTACACTTCGAGCCATGTTTCCATATTTTTCTTCCAGTGAAAGGGGCATTGTATTGTGAAAGTGCAATCATATTTGCAAATCTGGTTCAGTTGTATTTTGCAAAATAAATATGTGGAAAAAATATGAACATTATTATGTTGTTTTTTTAATTACAAACTATCGTAACAGCATAGTTACCTTTCTGGGCTCCTATTGACAAAAAAGGGCCTAGAATTAATCAAAACAAGGGTAAAGAAGACACACTAACAATAAAGTTACAGTTTAAGGAGAACTGAGGACAGACATCCCTGGAGGATGACTCGTCGGGTCCAGGTATGTACCCTAACCTAAACTAGGGGATGACTCGGTGGATCCAGGTATGTACCCTAACCTAAACTAGGGGATGACTCGGCGGGTCCAGGTATGTTACCTAACCTAAACTAGGGGATGACTCGGCGGGTCCAGGTATGTACCCTAACCTAAACTAGGGGATCACTTGATGGGCCCAGGTATGTTACCTAACCTAAACTAGGGGGTCACTTGATGGGCCCAGGTATGTTACCTAACCTAAACTAGGGGGTCACTTGATGGACCCAGGTATGTTACCTAACATAAACTAGGGGATCACTTGATGGGCCAGGTATGTACCCTAACCTAAACTAGGGGATGACTCGTCGGGTCCAGGTATGTACCCTAACCTAAACTAGGGGATCACTTGATGGGCCCAGGTATGAACCCTAACCTAAACTAATGGATCACTTGATGGGCCCAGGTATGAACCCTAACCTAAACTAATGGATCATTTGATGGGCCCAAGTAGGTACCCTAATATAAACTAATGGATCACTTGATGGGCCCAGGTAGGTACCCTAACATAAACTAATGGATCATTTGATGGGCCCAGGTAGGTACCCTAACATAAACTAATGGATCACTTGATGGGCCCAGGTAGGTACCCTAACATAAACTAATGGATCATTTGATGGGCCCAGGTATGTACACTACCCGAACTGGGGAATCACTTGATAGGTCCAGGTATGTTGCTTTTAGCTGAGGTCTGTGGGGTAGCCCAGTGGTTAAAGCGTTCGCTCGTCACGCCCAAAACCCGGGTTCGATTCCCCACATGGCTACAATGTGTGAAGCTCATTTCTCTTCCCTACTGTGATACTGCTGGAATATTGCTAAAAGCGGTGTAAAAGTAAACTCAGTCACTCACTTTGAGCTGATGCTGAAATATTCTGAACCGCTGTCTTAATTCTTGCTCACCATGCCTGGTTGCAAAACTTTGCGATTAATAGGCATGGTTAGTCCAGGGATAGCCTACAGAGGTGTTGTTCAGCCTGGTGAACACAACTTGATTATACTACACAAAGTAAATGTGCATTATTAGTATGAACGACATTTTTTAAATTCATCTTTGCCCTTAGTTTTTCCTTTAGTGATTTCACTCTCAGGAAGAACACATGCTGGTTTATAGATTTGGGTTCAAGCGCTCGGGTTTTCAAACCTCGCTAATGTTTTGCAGGTGTATTGATAATTATTATCGGTCTTTACAAGGATAAAACTGAAAATTCTTTGTCAGGAAAGTTCTAAGATCCTTCGATCAGTTGACACAACAATGCTTTCGAGGTGAAACTTCGGCTACATCTATGTATGGGCATTAAACAATGATTGTTATGTCAATATTCATACAAGGTTAGTCAAATCCACCCTTGCTGACAAACCTATACTGTTGATTTTAAGCAGCAAATTTGGTCTTAGAAAGGGAATTTGGCATAGACCATTTAAAGCCATAAATCTGTTCTCAATATTCATACAAAAAGCATTTTCCTGCAAAACGATATTGCTGAAATGCGCTCACCAATTAAGATCTATCTCATGATAATCATGTATATTATTCACTACCCTTCACAAGATAATCTCCTTGAAGACAGAATTACGAGTACAGTTCAGATAAATTTTAACGTCCAATACCAATCATCTTTTCGAAAGCATCTACTATATTCACTATTCATTATGGATACTTTTCTAAAGCTGTAGTAGGGGAAATTAACAATTTGAAAAGTATATAACAGCAATGATAGGCTTGATATGTGGTATCTTATAGCAATACCGATTCCTTATCAGTAGTGCTTGTGTTTCGGTAAACATTTCAACTCGAGCCCATAAGGGCACGTTTGTGTCCCCTGCAGTTTCTCAAATTTGAGAGGCCTGGTATCTTCCTATGCCCCTTCCATTGTTTAGGTCCAATAAGAGTCATCAGGTGATGACAAATCACCCCAGCCCCCACAAATTTAAGACAAGAAATCATCTGACAGTCGCTTAAAGTCCAACTTGATGAGAGAATTTCTGTCTAATATGTCCGTCCATATACAATAGCAGTTATTGAGCTATCAACACAATAACATGGAATTGGGATTCGCATCTTTGTATATACATGTACTTCTGTGTCAGGTACACACTAATATCAACGTCAAAGAAAAAATATAAATTCTAAAAATCCCTAATCACAAACGGCAGCAGTTGACAACCTGGTTTTTGTTTGTGCAGTTTCATAAAGGAATATGTAGTACTCTTTTGAGATATGGTCCCCACAAACACAACTCTATGAACAAAGTCAAAATCAAGTTTGTTTCCATGGAAACAGGAAACAAATTCACTTTCTAACAATTCCTAAATAACAAAAGGCAATTTGTCTTTCAGTGGCATTTAGAAGTTGTACATTGATGTCAAAGATATTTTTATGGATTAAACTTCTTTTTAATCTAATAATTAAAATCTTGATAATTAAAAAGAAGTTTAATCCATAAAAATATCTTGGACATCAAAAGGCAATTTGTTTAATACATATAGGAGGCTAGGATGGAAAGTCTTTGAAGTTTTTGAGCGGTGCTATGGAAATGAAATGAATTCTGAGACTAAGTCAAAATTGTTTCCATGGAAATTGAGAAAACAAAAATACCAAAAATCTGCAAATAGCAAAAGGCACCACTTTAGGTTCTGTTTGATATATCTACCAATTTTTGTTGAAAAATATGGAACATTTTTTAATTCTGCTCAGGAAACGACACCTATCTCCATTTCAGCTAGATCTTGTTTCAATGGAAACGGAAAAATCAAATTTTGAAAAATTCATAAATAGCAAAAGGCACCACATCAGCCCTTGGTTAATACATGTACTAGTTTGGATGAAAAATCTTTCATGGTTTTCAAGTTGTGCTCTATAAACGATATCCAACCCCTCTTCTTGAAACCAACTAAAAAATGTTATCATGGAAATCAAGAAGAAAAAAGGATAAAACTTGGTTCTGTACATAATTTTATAACAGATCCTGTTTCACACATTCAGTGATGTCGATGTCAAGTTTTTCAACTGACCAATACCACAGTGAGATTGCTGGAATATTGCTGATAGCACCATAAAAAACAGACTCTCTCAACCTACCAAAACATATGACCAGCAACATGTTGCAGCCACACAAACTAAATGTATTTCTATAACACAAACGACTAGAAAAAAGAATTCCTACAAAATCCATGTGATAAAATTATTATCTCTTTACTTTATTCTGCAATATCTGAGAACTGATTTCAATGTTTCAGCATTTACAGAATAATATAAACACTAGTCTGCATACTATGTACATCCTGGAAGTAGAGTATGCTCACTGGTTTTTACATTTATAATTTTAGACTGAAATCAGTTCACAAAAAAATAGATATCTTGACAAGAATATTTTCAGATTCTGCGTATTTAATCATTCACACACACAAAAACTGTATTGAACAATGAAAATCAGTGCCATCACTCAGTCCAATACTGCATCAGAAGCCACCACCATTCTCCTATCAACCAAACAGTACAACATTGGTTGACATGGCCTAAATATTCTGTTTACAGGAACGAACACAAGAGAAAATGTTTGGTTAGTCAATCAAATGCCATGATAACTCTTGCAATCTATTGAGAAACGTTTCTAGTTTTGGGTATAACATGGTATTCATGGCTTCCCTGGAATACCCTACGTTGTTCATAACAAATGATGATTCACAGGTCCTTAAGCAAGAGTGATGGTACAAAACCCAGACACAATATATGCCATGTGTATTGTCCGTCACTGTTTCACAGTTCACAACTTAAAGGCAAAGGAAGCCCCACAGGAGCAGCCCTGCTCAGCCTTAGGATTGTTGATTATCCTGAACGCAGATCTGATAAGTTCCTCTTGGTAGTCCACAGTAGAGCCTGTCAGAAACTCCATAGAATCTTCATCCACAACAACCCGCACACCATCTCGCTCAAACACCCTGCAAAATAAACAGCAAACATAAATAGACTGTCAGGGGAATGGTACACTGTATATCCTGAATCTTTAGAGAGATAATGATGCATTCATGATGTGTTGGTCAGGGGAATGGTACACTGTATATCCTGAATCTTTACAGAGATAATGATGCATTCATGATGTGTTGGTCAGGGGAAAGGTACACTGTATATCCTGAATCTTTACAGAGATAATGATGCATTCATGATGTGTTGGTCAGGGGAAAGGTACACTGTATATCCTGAATCTTTACAGAGATAATGATGCATTCATGATGTGTTGGTCAGGGGAAAGGTACACTGTATATCCTGAATCTTCACAGAGATAATGATGCATTCATGATGTGGTGGTCAGGGGAATGGTACACTGTATATCCTGAATCTTCACAGAGATAATGATGCATTCATGATGTGTTGGTCAGGGGAAAGGTACACTGTATATCCTGAATCTTTACAGAGATAATGATGCATTCATGATGTGTTGGTCAGGGGAAAGGTACACTGTATATCCTGAAACTTTACAGAGATAATGATGCATTCATGATGTGTTGGTCAGGGGAAAGGTACACTGTATATCCTGAATCTTTACAGAGATAATGATGCATTCATGATGTGTTGGTCAGGGGAAAGGTACACTGTATATCCTGAATCTTTACAGAGATAATGATGCATTCATGATGTGTTGGTCAGGGGAAAGGTACACTGTATATCCTGAAACTTTACAGAGATAATGATGCATTTATGATGTGTTGGTCAGGGGAATGGTACACTGTATATCCTGAATCTTTACAGAGATAATGATGCATTCATGATGTGTTGGTCAGGGGAAAGGTACACTGTATATCCTGAATCTTTACAGAGATAATGATGCATTCATGATGTGTTGGTCAGGGAAAGGTACACTGTATATCCTGAATCTTTACAGAGATAATGATGCATTCATGATGTGTTGGTCAGGGGAAAGGTACACTGTATATCCTGAAACTTTACAGAGATAATGATGCATTCATGATGTGTTGGTCAGGGGAAAGGTACACTGTATATCCTGAATCTTTACAGAGATAATGATGCATTCATGATGTGTTGGTCAGGGGAAAGGTACACTGTATATCCTGAATCTTTACAGAGATAATGATGCATTCATGATGTGTTGGTCAGGGGAAAGGTACACTGTATATCCTGAATCTTTACAGAGATAATGATGCATTCATGATGTGTTGGTCAGGGGAAAGGTACACTGTATATCCTGAATCTTTACAGAGATAATGATGCATTTATGATGTGTTGGTCAGGGGAAAGGTACACTGTATATCCTGAATCTTTACAGAGATAATGATGCATTTATGATGTGTTGGTCAGGGGAAAGGTACACTGTATATCCTGAATCTTTACAGAGATAATGATGCATTCATGATGTGTTGGTCAGGGGAAAGGTACACTGTATATCCTGAAACTTTACAGAGATAATGATGCATTCATGATGTGTTGGTCAGGGGAAAGGTACACTGTATATCCTGAATCTTTACAGAGATAATGATGCATTCATGATGTGTTGGTCAGGGGAAAGGTACACTGTATATCCTGAAACTTTACAGAGATAATGATGCATTCATGATGTGTTGGTCAGGGGAAAGGTACACTGTATATCCTGAATCTTTACAGAGATAATGATGCATTCATGATGTGTTGGTCAGGGGAAAGGTACACTGTATATCCTGAATCTTTACAGAGATAATGATGCATTTATGATGTGTTGGTCAGGGGAAATGGTACACTGTATATCCTGAATCTTTACAGAGATAATGATGCATTCATGATGTGTTGGTCAGGGGAAAGGTACACTGTATATCCTGAATCTTTACAGAGATAATGATGCATTTATGATGTGTTGGTCAGGGAAAGGTACACTGTATATCCTGAATCTTTACAGAGATAATGATGCATTCATGATGTGTTGGTCAGGGGAAAGGTACACTGTATATCCTGAATCTTTACAGAGATAATGATGCATTCATGATGTGTTGGTCAGGGAATGGTACACTGTATATCCTGAATCTTTACAGAGATAATGATGCATTCATGATGTGTTGGTCAGGGGAAAGGTACACTGTATATCCTGAATCTTTACAGAGATAATGATGCATTCATGATGTGTTGGTCAGGGGAAAGGTACACTGTATATCCTGAAATCTTTACAGAGATAATGATGCATTCATTCATGATGTGTTGGTCAGGGGAAAGGTACACTGTATATCCTGAATCTTTACAGAGATAATGATGCATTCATGATGTGTTGGTCAGGGGAAAGGTACACTGTATATCCTGAATCTTTACAGAGATAATGATGCATTCATGATGTGTTGGTCAGGGGAAAGGTACACTGTATATCCTGAATCTTTACAGAGATAATGATGCATTCATGATGTGTTGGTCAGGGAAAGGTACACTGTATATCCTGAATCTTTACAGAGATAATGATGCATTCATGATGTGTTGGTCAGGGAAAGGTACACTGTATATCCTGAATCTTTACAGAGATAATGATGCATTCATGATGTGTTGGTCAGGGGAAAGGTACACTGTATATCCTGAATCTTTACAGAGATAATGATGCATTCATGATGTGTTGGTCAGGGGAAAGGTACACTGTATATCCTGAATCTTTACAGAGATAATGATGCATTCATGATGTGTTGGTCAGGGAAAGGTACACTGTATATCCTGAATCTTTACAGAGATAATGATGCATTCATGATGTGTTGGTCAGGGAAAGGTACACTGTATATCCTGAATCTTTACAGAGATAATGATGCATTCATGATGTGTTGGTCAGGGGAAAGGTACACTGTATATCCTGAATCTTTACAGAGATAATGATGCATTCATGATGTGTTGGTCAGGGAAAGGTACACTGTATATCCTGAATCTTTACAGAGATAATGATGCATTCATGATGTGTTGGTCAGGGGAAAGGTACACTGTATATCCTGAATCTTTACAGAGATAATGATGCATTCATGATGTGTTGGTCAGGGGAAAGGTACACTGTATATCCTGAATCTTTACAGAGATAATGATGCATTCATGATGTGTTGGTCAGGGGAAAGGTACACTGTATATCCTGAATCTTTACAGAGATAATGATGCATTCATGATGTGTTGGTCAGGGAAAGGTACACTGTATATCCTGAATCTTTACAGAGATAATGATGCATTCATGATGTGTTGGTCAGGGGAAAGGTACACTGTATATCCTGAATCTTTACAGAGATAATGATGCATTCATGATGTGTTGGTCAGGGGAAAGGTACACTGTATATCCTGAATCTTTACAGAGATAATGATGCATTCATGATGTGTTGGTCAGGGGAAATGGTACACTGTATATCCTGAATCTTTACAGAGATAATGATGCATTCATGATGTGTTGGTCAGGGGAAAGGTACACTGTATATCCTGAATCTTTACAGAGATAATGATGCATTTATGATGTGTTGGTCAGGGGAAAGGTACACTGTATATCCTGAATCTTTACAGAGATAATGATGCATTCATGATGTGTTGGTCAGGGGAAAGGTACACTGTATATCCTGAATCTTTACAGAGATAATGATGCATTCATGATGTGTTGGTCAGGGGAAAGGTACACTGTATATCCTGAAACTTTACAGAGATAATGATGCATTTATGATGTGGTGGTCAGGGGAATGGTACACTGTATATCCTGAATCTTTACAGAGATAATGATGCATTCATGATGTGTTGGTCAGGGGAAAGGTACACTGTATATCCTGAATCTTTACAGAGATAATGATGCATTTATGATGTGTTGGTCAGGGGAAAGGTACACTGTATATTCTGAATCTTCACAGAGATAATGATGCATTCATGATGTGGTGGTCAGGGGAATGGTACACTGTATAGCCTGAATCTTCACAGAGATAATGATGCATTCATGATGTGTTGGTCAGGGGAAAGGTACACTGTATATCCTGATTCTTCACAGAGATAATGATGCATTCATGATGTGTTGGTCAGGGGAATGGTACACTGTATATCCTGAATCTTTACAGAGATAATGATGCATTTATGATGTGTTGGTCAGGGGAATGGTACACTGTATATCCTGAATCTTTACATAGATAATGATGCATTCATGATGTGTTGGTCAGGGGAATGGTACACTGTATATCCTGAATCTTTACAGAGATAATGATGCATTCATGATGTGTTGGTCAGGGGAAAGGTACACTGTATATCCTGAATCTTTACAGAGATAATGATGCATTCATGATGTGGTGGTCAGGGGAATGGTACACTGTATATCCTGAATCTTTAGAGAGATAATGATGCATTTATGATGTGTTGGTCAGGGGAAAGGTACACTGTATATCCTGAATCTTCACAGAGATAATGATGCATTCATGATGTGTTGGTCAGGGGAAAGGTACACTGTATATCCTGAATCTTTACAGAGATAATGATGCATTCATGATGTGGTGGTCAGGGGAAAGGTACACTGTATATCCTGAATCTTCACAGAGATAATGATGCATTCATGATGTGTTGGTCAGGGGAAAGGTACACTGTATATCCTGAATCTTCACAGAGATAATGATGCATTCATGATGTGTTGGTCAGGGGAAAGGTACACTGTATATCCTGAATCTTCACAGAGATAATGATGCATTCATGATGTGGTGGTCAGGGGAAAGGTACACTGTATATCCTGAATCTTTACAGAGATACGGCAGGCCAGGTCAGGCGACTGCGTTTGTATATGCGTTCTAAGGCTTTGGTGACTTCGTTAGAATCTTTGGTCATCAACGGTTAGGCTTCCTTGTAGCGACTGGCGACGGCAACGACTGTCAGGGCGTACTTGTAGGTTTTACGCCTCAACCTGTCGTGAGGTAGAAACAGGAGGTCGGCTTGATGCATGCGATTCGGCGTCAAAATGTCGAACTTTCTTCTCGGGATGTACCGTGGCGCCGGCAAGTAAACTTGCCAGATAGCTTGTTTTTTAAGCCAAGCTTTGTCTTTCTCTTCCGAGACTCGGGATGGCGTCCGCGCCTTTCCAGTATCCACGTGGGCTGTAATAAATTTTCTCCATTATGTATGTATTGTGTGCGTTTTAATTATTTAATACACGCACGTGTCCGTATGCGTAAGTGTTGACTCTGGCGATGGCGATCCATCGTTTCATGTCCATGGGACCTGACAAAAGTCGTGAACAATGGAACGCTGCTCGTGGCTTACGTCCCTACACAAAGACGCAGCGTGATCGTCAGCACGTTGAGGCAAAGAGTAGCCCACATGCTGTCGAGCAAACCCGGGACGCAACATGTGGGATTGCAGATTGTTTCTGAATTCGACAGCGTAGTAAACGTCCTGGAAAATCTGCCGGCGAAATCCATGCTGTACATACAAGTCTACCTCGGCGAATTGCCGTCAGCACGTGACGTCATCGAAATCGTGAAAGGGATCAAACTCCGCTGGGCCAAACAACAACAATACCAAGTTTGCTCCGTTTACGTGCGGGTGAACGTTAGAGCATATACCAATCTGCAGGGAGTCACCGTGACTGTGGAAGACACGATATCACTCACCAAAATTTTCCTACTCGACAACATACATCTCATGGGTTTGAAGTGCACATCTGAGGAATTATCCGATAACCAATTGAAAACCATTTCGTAATTTTGTATATAAAAAAAACAATGAACAACCATCATCCCAACATAACGCTAGCTGATCTCGGAGACACGCGGGGATTTGATCTGCCCGGCGAGGAAAACACCTTGTACGTCCTGCACTTAAAAGACGACGCATCATACGAGCGGGTGTCACTATCAGACTTCTAACAGCCCGACTGGTTGATCGACATGACCCTCACCGCACCCAACATATCTTTTGAAAAACAATGGTTACGTCTCCAAAATTACAAAAAACGGGATCCTTCTCACGTCTTTCACTCCAGAGTTTGATGTACAAGTTTTACGAATACCAGGTCACATGGGCAACATGTTAGCTTCAAACAATGTGGCTTCATATTTACGGTTCGACGTACCCGATTACCAACAGGATTTTTTCGATTCAAATTTGACTATCAAATCACACACCACTATCGTAATAGAAGTCTATCTCGCAGACGCTCATGGGTCAGAACGAACACTTTTGACTGGGTTGATAATACGCTGGTTCGCCAGACACAATCACCAACGGTGTCGTATCGTCATAAGACCAGGATCGACACCCTTAGTAAGCCTCAAAGGAGTTCGTGTTATAGAAAAAAAATCGATTCATGTCTTGAATATTTACGTGTACGATAATCTAAACCTTATCAGCCTCAAACACATCGATCGGATATTAACAGAAAAGCAATTAAATATTATGTTATCAAAATATATATATACACACACAGGATGGGACTGTATCCAGTCGTGGATGAAGAAGCAAAAACACTGGAAACTGTAGACGGGTTTCGTTTGCGACAGATATGCGAGATCAAACAACAACTAGAACGTGAACGCGATAAAAATACAGAAAAAATATCACTGGGCTGTCAATTCCATGGACTGCGTTGACACCGCTCTGATTTAATCCAGCATGGCATTAGGCGCGGCAGGTGTCGGATTGTTATCCACCATTGTGGTCGCACCTGTAGTGTTAGGCATAGAAATAACAGCTGGATGGGTAGGGTTGGCGGGATTGGCCCTTAAGTACGTATCTCGCAGACTGCAACGTAAAGCATTGAAACACAACGAAATTCGAATTCTAGCCGAAGCAAAGCTAAACACAATAGACGATCATATTTCCACCGCACTCAACGACTCTAAAATCTCAGAGGAAGAGTTTCGTTTGGTGCTAAAAGAAATTGCAAAATATCACAGAATGAAGCAAGAGATTCGAACCAAGACTCGTAAAACCACTTCCATCAGCGAAGACGAGAAAAAAAAGTTCATAGAACAAGGGAGGCAAGAGGCCCGGCAAGACTTCATTACGAAAACCAAACAAATCATAGAAGGAGATTCACAATAAACTGTTTCGCAGATATCAACATAACGTAAATAGCCAGCCAGCCGGTCGGCTGAACAAGACAAGCCGAGACAGACACACACACACTGCGACTCGCTCACAGCGCTCACTCAGTGCTACCGAGACGGCAGCGAGGCGACCTGGGGGGACTGCCGAGAGCTGCGGTATGATTTAGCTTCAAGAGGCTCTCGCCTCGCTACTTTATAACAAGTACGGAAATACATTGGATAGTTAGCCTTTCGCCGGACAGACCCCATGCTCACTCAAAAGTCAATATTTCAGAAACTATTATACCGATTTTCGTGAAATTTTGCATGCACATCCGCGAGTAGTATACACAATAGCGGAACGGATTAGGGACTTAACAAAGGCTTAATTTGTCCCCCTCACCATGCTACAACACATGAGTGTCAGGTGTCCCCCCCCACCATGCTACAAAACATGAGTGTCAGGTGTCCCCCCCACCATGCCACACCACATGAGTGTCAGGTGTCCCCACCATGCTACAATACATGAGTGTCAGGTGTCCCTCTCACCATGCTCCAACACATGAGTGTCAGGTGTCCCCCACCATGCTACAAAACATGAGTGTCAGGTGTCCCCACCATGCTACAACACACGAGGCGTCAGGTGTCCCCCACCATGCTACAAAACATGAGTGTCAGGTGTCCCCCCCACCATGCTACAACACATGAGTGTCAGGTGTCCCCCTCACCATGCTACAAAACATGAGTGTCAGGTGTCCCCCTCACCATGCTACAAAACATGAGTGTCAGGTGTCCCCCCCACCATGCTACAACACATGAGTGTCAGGTGTCCCCCTCACCATGCTCCAACACATGAAAATCAGGAACTCTTTTTACACTTTCTAGTTACTATAATTACATAAGTGTAACTATCAGGTGTCTTCCTCACCTGTCCTCCCCTTCAACCATGTTGGAGTCCAGCTGGAATTTGTACTGGAAGCCAGAACAGCCTCCTCCTTCAACAATCACCCGCAAACATGTCGCCTCACTCTTACTTAGCTTCTTTAATTGCTGCAGAAAGAAATTCACAACACTGACATGTCATTTTTAGTATACTGTTACAGTTTGCTGGTGTGTTTATGTGTTAGTGACTGCACATGTGTATGTAAAAGCGAAAAACATTTCATGTTTCTATTTAAGATTCATAAGAAAGTCTTGGGCACTTCTGGTTGACTGGTTGACTAACTTTTGCCCCATTTCTCAACTCTGAGATGATTTATTCACAACATACTACATACTACTAAATACTTGTAGACACAAAATGAGACCAGTTTGCTCTGTAGTAAGACTGCTGTATCTGTGTTGTACTGAGACAGCTGTGTCAGTGTTGTACTGAGATAGCTGTGTCTGTGTTGTACTGAGATAGCTGTGTCAGTGTTGTACTGAGATAGTTGTGTCAGTGTTGTACTGAGATAGCTTTGTCTGTTGTACTGAGATAGCTGTGTCTGTGTTGTACTGACATAGCTGTGTCAGTGTTGTACTGAGACAGCTGTGTCAGTGTTGTACTGAGATAGCTGTGTCTGTGTTGTACTGAGATAGCTGTGTCTGTGTTGTACTGAGATAGCTGTGTCTGTGTTGTACTGAGATAGTTGTGTCTGTGTTGTACTGAGATAGCTGTGTCAGTGTTGTACTGAGACAGCTGTGTCAGTGTTGTACTGAGATAGCTGTGTCAGTGTTGTACTGACATAGCTGTGTCTGTGTTGTACTGAGATAGCTTTGTCTGTGTTGCACTGAGATAGCTTTGTCAGTGTTGTACTGAGATAGCTGTGTCTGTGTTGTACTGAGATAGCTGTGTCTGTGTTGTACTGAGATAGCTGTGTCAGTGATGTACTGAAACAGCTCTGTCAGTGTTGTACTGAGATAGCTGTGTCTGTGTTGTACTGAGATAGCTGTGTCTGTGTTGTACTGAGATAGCTGTGTCAGTGTTGTACTGAGATAGTTGTGTCAGTGTTGTACTGAGACAGCTCTGTCAGTGTTGTACTGAGATAGCTGTGTCTGTGTTGTACTGAGATAGCTGTGTCAGTGTTGTACTGAGACAGCTGTGTCAGTGTTATACTGAGACAGCTGTGTCAGTGTTGTACTGACATAGCTGTGTCTGTGTTGTACTGAGATAGCTTTGTCAGTGTTGTACTGAGATAGTTGTGTCAGTGTTGTACTGAGACAGCTCTGTCAGTGTTGTACTGAGATAGTTGTGTCAGTGTTGTATTGAGACAGCTGTGTCAGTGTTGTACTGAGACAGCTGTGTCAGTGTTGTACTGAGATAGTTGTGTCTGTGTTGTACTGGGATAGCTGTGTCAGTGTTGTACTGACATAGCTGTGTCTGTGTTGTACTGAGATAGCTTTGTCTGTGTTGTACTGAGATAGCTTTGTCAGTGTTGTACTGAGATAGCTGTGTCTGTGTTGTACTGAGATAGCTGTGTCTGTGTTGTACTGAGATAGCTGTGTCAGTGATGTACTGAGACAGCTCTGTCAGTGATGTACTGAGATAGCTGTGTCTGTGTTGTACTGAGACAGCTGTGTCTGTGTTGTACTGAGATAGCTGTGTCAGTGTTGTACTGAGACAGCTCTGTGAGTGTTGTACTGAGACGGCTCTGTCAGTGTTGTACTGAAATAGCTGTGTCTGTGTTGTACTGAGATAGCTGTGTCAGTGTTGTACTGAGACAGCTGTGTCAGTGTTATACTGAGACAGCTGTGTCAGTGTTGTACTGACATAGCTGTGTCTGTGTTGTACTGAGATAGCTTTGTCAGTGTTGTACTGAGATAGTTGTGTCAGTGTTGTACTGAGATAGCTGTGTCAGTGTTGTACTGAGATAGTTGTGTCAGTGTTGTATTGAGACAGCTGTGTCAGTGCTGTACTGAGACAGCTGTGTCAGTGTTGTACTGAGATAGTTGTGTCTGTGTTGTACTGAGATAGCTGTGTCAGTGTTGTTCTGAGACAGCTCTGTCATTGTTGTACTGAGACAGCTGTGTCAGTGTTGTACTGAGACAGCTGTACCTGTGTTGTACTGAGATAGTTGTGTCAGTGTTGTACTGAGATAATTGTGTCAATGTTGTACTGAGATAGCTGTGTCTGTGTTGTACTGAGATAGCTGTGTCAGTGTTGTACTGAGATAGCTGTGTCTGTGTTGTACTGAGATAGCTGTGTCAGTGTTGTACTGAGACAGACGTGTCAGTGTTATACTGAGACAGCTGTGTCAGTGCTGTACTGAGACAGCTGTGTCAGTGTTGTACTGAGATAGTTGTGTCTGTGTTGTACTGAGATAGCTGTGTCTGTGTTGTTCTGAGACAGCTCTGTCATTGTTGTACTGAGACAGCTGTGTCAGTGTTGTACTGAGACAGCTGTACCTGTGTTGTACTGAGATAGTTGTGTCAGTGTTGTACTGAGATAATTGTGTCAATGTTGTACTGAGATAGCTGTGTCTGTGTTGTACTGAGATAGCTGTGTCAGTGTTGTACTGAGATAGCTTGTCTGTGTTGTACTGAGACAGCTGTGTCAGTGTTATACTGAGACAGCTGTACCTGTGTTGTACTGAGACAGCTGTGTCACTGTCAGGGTTGTACTGAGATAGCTGTGTCTGTGTTGTACTGAGATAGCTTTGTCAGTGTTGTACTGAGATAGCTGTGTCAGTGTTGTACTGAGATAGCTGTGTCTGTGTTGTACTGAGATAGCTGTGTCTGTGTTGTACTGAGATAGCTTTGTCAGTGTTGTACTGAGATAGTTGTGTCAGGGTTGTACTGAGATAGCTGTGCCAGTGTTGTTCTGAGATAGCTTGTCTGTGTTGTACTGAGATAGTTGTGTCAGTGTTGTACTGAGATAGTTGTGTCAGTGTTGTACTGAGACAGCTGTGTCAGTGTTGTACTGAGACAGCTGTACCTGTGTTGTACTGAGACAGCTGTGTCACTGTCAGTGTTGTACTGAGATAGCTGTGTCTGTGTTGTACTGAGATAGCTTTGTCAGTGTTGTGCCGAGATAGTTGTGTCAGTGTTGTACTGAGATAGCTGTGTCAGTGTTGTACTGAGATAGCTTGTGTGTGTTGTACTGAGATAGCTGTGTCTGTGTTGTACTGAGATAGCTGTGTCTGTGTTGTAACAATGGCATACCTTAACACAGTTGTCACTGAGTTTCAGAATTTCTCCATCATTAGCTGTTTTCAGGCTGGATCCAGACACTGTCCGCAGATTTTGTTGGAAATTCTGTTGACGTTGGACTGACCAGCTCACTACTCTGAAGCGACAATTTTCATATCAACTGAATGAGATCTTATGCTGTAATACGATCTCTCCCTTCATAAGAGTTATAAGCAAAATAGTAGGTGCATTATTATTGTGCTGGCACTATGTCATTGTTGATTATTTTAACCTTCGTGTTTACTGTTTATTTGAAATGATACTCTATGGTATGAAGTTCCTGTTTTGTTTCATGTGTCCTAAATGATATTGACATGACATAAACAACATCTGAAGGAGCAAAAATTAATCATGTACAAATGTTGCAGTCAAATTGTGTAATGTTTTACATACAGACACAAGCAAATATATATGGCATCTATAAACCTATTTAGTCAAGTTCTGCTCATGACTATTCAATATGCATGCATGTTCAATATACATATGTCAGGGTAGAGACTGCGATCTGGTAGAATCAGAGATTCTACCAGTAGAGATTGCGATCAGAGTCTCTACCAGTAGAGACTGCGATCGGAGACTCCGACCGCAATCTCTACTGGTAGATTCTCCAATTCTACCAAATCGCAGTCTCTACCCTGACATACATATATAATTATAGACCTATTTTGTTTTCTTCATCCAATTTTATGAACATACATGATAAATTCATATTACGTTATGTGTTCACATAGGTATCTGTTGCTCGTTCATATGAAAATGTAATAGATATTGGTTGTGTGTAACAGGGTTTCAGCAATTAGATATCCATTCAAAAAAATATATACATACATATGGTTTATGTGGTGAAGCTTTCTCTTGTGGAATCGTTACAACCATATTGTTAAGGAACCATTAGAATTTCTACATAGGATTTTGAGGAAATAATTCATTTCATAATCTGAAGCAACAACCAAACTTACATGTCCACCTGCCACTTTTGATTGTTGGTATGTTCAACTCCACATATTGATATATGACTTTGTATGTCAAAACCGATGTTGTGCCCAAAAGTAGGTAGGGTTGGGGTCAGTTAAAGGGTTAGGTCTGCTGGAGACCATATCATGAATTTGCTGTGTGGAATCACTACAGAATACTGATTCAGAAAGAATAGAAAATTGTGTTTATAGTATAGGATGCAAAGATATGTTTTACTTCATCAGAAGTAAAGATTTTTCGAAAGTATGAGACAGCTACAATAAAATATTCTGTCAGTGTCAGTCGTCACTGCTTCTCAGAAAAGCTTAAGCAGGACTACCATACAAACGGTGAACAAATCATCAAAACTGAACTCATATACACCAAAACAGAACAAAAATCACCAAAACTGCAATGATATCCTCTAAAACTGAAACAATACTGCACAATGTGGTCCCTCGTTCGACCAAATAGGATTTCTTGTCAACATGTTGACACTTAAAAACATGTTGATCACTTATATATGCAATTCACGGAGAATGAACAAAGTTTTTGTAAACTTTTTAAATCACTAAAATATAGTAATGTTGAATGTGATGCTATGAATACTTTATTGACAAAACCGAAGAGAAACTGTAGCACGGCATGTTGACAAGAAATCCTATTTGGTCGAACGAGGCACCACATTGTGCAGAATTGCAAGCCTGACAATTAGAAGTATGGACATAGGTTTGAAGCTTACTACGATAGGGGGTTTATGCACTACATCCCGATATCAAATTTTCAAGATTAGACTCATAGTGACGAAAAACAATTATGTACCAAAGCCTATTTGTCTCTCCTAGCCGCCATCTTTGATGATTTGTATGCCGTTTCGGGATGCTATGACTGCCGTGTTGGGATGCTATGAATGCCGTTTTGTAAGCTCGACCGTTCTCGCACGCTCTTGTAGCTGATACGCGAGTTTTGTTTCCATTTCAAACGATTAGTCTTCCATTAACGATGTCTTGTTTCGGTTTTAGAGGATATTGTTGCAGTTTTGGTGATTTTTGTTCTGTTTTGGTGTATATGAGTTCAGTTTTAATGATTTGTTCACCGTTTGTATGGTAGGCCTGTTAAGGTACGTTAACCATAATTTTTCCCTTGTGACAAGCTGGACAAGTGTCTGGTATAGAAATACTAGACAGTTGATCACAGCAGGGAGAATAGAAGACGTACATTGTAGATTATCCCTGATCACAGACACAGGTTTGTTATTTCCTGTCTAAAATGCAGTAAATAATGTAGCCGAGAGCCGCGATGCGGTCCTGATGCAGGGTCATGTCTTGACTGTATAGGACCGCATCGCGGCTCTCGGCTACAAAGAATGATGAACATTGGAAATACTCCGAAGTAGTACTGTTCAAGTATGGACAGAATTTGCATTAATACCTGCTTGCCAACGTAAGTACATGGGTTGACTTTCTAATTACAGAAGCCATGGTCCAGATGATGACATAACAAACTGCTCTTCCACAACAGACTGCTGCTTCCGCTAAGGGAGGTAACTCTTGAGGGAATGTGATAACCGAAATTTTCTGCAGTGAGCACCTTCTCGCGGAACACTCGCTCGTCTTTTTTACCGAGAATACCAAATGATGTACATGTATACATATATTTGTGTTGTAAAACCATTAACCGTGATCAACAGGAAGCCTTCCACCCGCGTCCCAGTTCTGTAGGAAACACTGCAAGATACGAACGAAGCTGCTGAAGGGGACATAAATTTGCGTAAACCCCACACACACACACACACACCACCCCCAAATTGATAATAATAATAATCTCGTAATAACGACGTATAATCTTCTTATAACGACTTTTAAAGCTCGTAATAATGTCCTTACATTTTAAACTGTAACACGATAGCTAGTTCACTGTACCATACACTAACCTAAGTATTCTCACATTTTATACATCACCATAGCTAGTTAGGACACTTAGGTTAGTGGTACAGTGAACTAGCTATGGTGATGTATGAAATGTAAGGACATTATTACGATATTTATAGGTCCTTATTACGAGATTAAAAAGTCGTTACAACGAGATTATAAGTCGTTATTACGAGATATTTTTTGTTATTTATTTATATTTTATTTTTATTTATAATTTTTTTAATATATTTTTTTATTTTTTATTTTTTATTTTTTTTTTTTGGGGGGGGGAGATACGCAATTGTCCCTTCAGAAGCTGCGCAGCAAGAATTCACGTTGAAAACATAATATTTTAGGAATGTTAGAATAGCAACAGAGTGATAATGTTTTGCCGTGGTTCGCAGAAAGCTTTGTTTCACTGAGGAGAAAAAACAAAACTCGGTATGGGAACAGTCGTTCAGTAGCCGTCGTTTCACTAATGAATATTATGATCTTCGTTCATTAGCAGGACACTTGAGTGTATGGGCCGTGATTGACACTATACTGAATATCAAATGGTCCCGGGACAGGCGAACTCATAAATCGACGGATTATGTTGTTGATTTAAACATATTTATATTTCTGAAGGAATCTGGTGTAGTTAAAAAGCAAAACGTTCTTTTGCAAATACGTCTCTGGGCCATAGGTTAACTGCGGCTAGCGTATAAAAGATAGTGTTGAACATATATGTTGAATATTGAGTCACAATAGTACCGTTTTCCTTTCTATATGCATAAAATTAAAACTACTCAAATATTTTGTTTCTTGACAAAGAAATCGTGGACTGTATGAAGGACGTTCATTTTGGCAGAACTACTAACAACTATGGCAATGAAATTGTTCTTGTTGTTGGCACCCGCATCGATGGGTGAACCGTGAATGAATACTTATCGTTTTATGATGAACGAGACATACAGAAATACAACAGAATATTATGATATTTCGAAGGAATCTGGTGTAGTTCAAAACAGAAATACGCTTTATGATATCAACGAGGCATACAGAAGTATAAATACCTTTATGATATCAACGAGGCATACAGAAATACAGAAGTATAAAAGCTATGACAGGGCATACGATTTACGCTTTATGATATCAACGAGGCATACAGGAGATACATAAGTATAAATATAAATACGCTTTATGATATCAACGAGGCATACAGATGATATATAAGTATAAATACAGAGGCTTTAAATACGATATAATCATCAACGAGGCATGAGATACATAAGTTTATAAATACGCTTTATTATATAAATCGAGGTATACAAGGGCATACATAAGTATAAATACGCTTTATGATATAAACGAGGTATACAGAGTATACATAAGTTTAAATACGCGAGGCATACAGAAGTATAAATCGCTTTATGATATCAACAGAAATACAGAAGTATAAATACGCTTTATTATAAAATCAAGGCATACTGAAATACAGAAGTAGAAATAGATACGCTTTTTATATCAACGAGGCATATCAAGGCACATTGGTGTAGAATTGAGATACAAAAGTAGAAATACGTTTATTATATAATCAAGGCATATTGAGATACAGAAAGTAGAAATACTCTTTATGATATAATAGAGGCATACAGAAATACAGAAGTATAAATACGCTTTATTATCAAAGCATCAAGGCATATTGAGATACATAAGGAGTAGAAATACGCTTTATGATATAATCAAGGCATATTGAGATACATAAGTAGAAATACGTAGAAATTTATGATATAATCAAGGTATATGCTGAGATACATAAGTAGAAATACGCTTTATGATATAATCGAGAGGTATACAGAGATACATAAGTAGAAATACGCTTTATGATATAATCGAGCTATACAGAGATACATAAGTAGAAATACGCTTCATGATGGAATCGAGGTATACAGAGATACATAAGTAGAAATACGCTTTATGATATAATCTAGGTATACAGAGATACATAAGTAGAAATACGCTTTATGATATAATCGAGGTATACAGAGATACAGAAGTAGAAATACGATTTATTATATGATCAAGGTATACAGAGATACATATGTAGAAATATGCTTCGTGATATGATCGAGGTATACAGAGATACATATACGTAGAAATACGCTTTATTATATAATCGAGGTATACAGAGATACAGATGTAGAAATACGCTTTATTGTATGATCAAGGTATACTGAGATACATCCGTAGAAATACGCTTCATGATATAATCGAGGTATACAGAGATACATAAGTAGAAATACGCTTTATGATATAATCAAGGTATACTGAGATACATAAGTAGAAATACGCTTTATGATATAATCGAGGTATACTGAGATACATAAGTAGAAATACGCTTTATGATATAATCAAGGTATACTGAAATGCAGAAGGTAGAAATACGCTTTATTATAAAATCAAGGCATATTGAGATACATAAGTAGAAATACGTTTATTATATAATCAAGGCATATTGAGATACATAAGTAGAAATACTCTTTATAATATAATAGAGGAATACAGAAATGCAGAAGTAGAAATACGCTTTATTATAAAATCAAGGCATATTGAGATACATAAGTAGAAATACGCTTATTATATAATCAAGGCATATTGAGATACATAAGTAGAAATACGCTTTATGATATAATCAAGGTATACTGAGATACATAAGTAGAAATACGCTTTATGATATAATCGAGGTATACAGAGATACATAAGTAGAAATACGCTTTATGATATAATCGAGGTATACAGAGATACATAAGTAGAAATACGCTTTATGATATAATCTAGGTATACAGAGATACATGCTCTGAGTGAAATACGCTTATATGATATAATCGGGGTATATTGAGATACAGAAGTAGAAATACGCTTTATTATATGATCAAGGTATACAGAGATACATATGTAGAAATATGCTTCGTGATATGATCGAGGTATACAGAGATACATATACGTAGAAATACGCTTTATTATATAATCGAGGTATACAGAGATACAGATGTAGAAATACGCTTTATTGTATGATCAAGGTATACTGAGATACATAAGTAGAAATACGCTTCATGATATAATCGAGGTATACAGAGATACATAAGTAGAAATACGCTTTATGATATAATCGAGGTATACTGAGATACATAAGTAGAAATACGCTTTATGATATAATCGAGGTATACTGAGATACATAAGTAGAAATACGCTTTATGATATAATCGAGGTATACAGAAATGCAGAAGGAGAAATACGCTTTATTATAAAATCAAGGCATATTGAGATACATAAGTAGAAATACGCTTATTATATAATCAAGGCATATTGAGATACATAAGTAGAAATTTATGATATAATCAAGGTATACTGAGATACATAAGTAGAAATTTATGATATAATCGAGGTATACTGAGATACATAAGTAGAAATACGCTTTATTATATAATCAAGGCATATTGAGATACATAAGTAGAAATACGCTTTATGATATAATCGAGGAATACAGAGATACATAAGTAGAAATACGCTTTATTATAAAATCAAGGCATATTGAGATACATAAGTAGAAATACGCTTATTATATAATCAAGGCATATTGAGATACATAAGTAGAAATACGCTTTATGATATAATCAAGGTATACTGAGATACATAAGTAGAAATAACGCTTTATGATATAATCGAGGTATACAGAGATACATCAGTACAGAATACATAAGTAGAAATACGCTTTATGATATAATCAAGGTATACAGAGATACATAAGTAGAAATACGCTTTATGATATAATCGAGGTATACAGAGATACATAAGTAGAAATACGCTTTATGATATAATCAAGGTATACATAAGTAGAGATACATAAGTAGAAATACGCTTTATGATATAATCTATGAGGTATACAGAGATACATAAGTAGAAATACGCTTTATTATATAATCAAGGTATATTGAGATACATAAGTAGAAATACACGCTTTTATGATATAATCGAGGTATACTGAGATACATAAGTAGAAATACGCTTTATGATATAATCAAGGTATACAGGATACATAAGTAGAAATACGCTTTATGATATAATCAAGGTATACTGAGATACATAAGTAGAAATACGCTTTATGATATAATCAAGGTATACAGGAAATGCAGAAGTAGAAATACGCTTTATGATATAATAGGTATATGAATCAAGGCATATTGAGGATACTGGGAGATACATAAGTAGAAATACGCTTTTTATGATATAATCAAGGCATATTGAGATACATAAAGTAGAAATACTTTATATATATAATAGATACACAGTAGGAATACATGAAATGCAGATAAGTAGAATGCACGCTTTATTATATAAAAATCAAGGCATATTGAGGGATACATAAGTAGAAATACGCTTTATTATATAATCAAGGCATATTGAGGATACATAAGTAGAAATACTCTTTATGATATAATCAAGGTATACTGAGATACATAAGTAGAAATACGCTTTATGATATAATCGAGGTATACAGAGATACATAAGTAGAAATCACGGCTTTATGATATAATCGAAGGTATACAGAGATACATAAGTAGAAATACGCTTTATGATATAATCAAGGTATAGAGGTATACACAGG